GTTCTTTTAATTCAGGGTTTGATAGTAGACAGTTCTGTTTGTTTTCGTGTTTCGCATGCAAGACGGTAGAGCGGTAGTTCTAAGGGGAGGTTTTTCTGTATGAAACACTATAGGAACAAATTATTCTGAAGTGTGGACATACTATTGTGATGCCTTGATTTTCTGTTTAATTAGTGTAAATTTGTATCATAGAAACACTAAGTAGAATATTTGGCCTGAGCTAATCGAGGGAAAAAGAGTTGGGATCCAATTGATAATAGGACATTGTGAGATTACTGTACTATTGAGATGGCACAATCATCGATGCTGATAGAGAGAGAAAATGAAAAACACAGATTTTGTTTTAAAACAGGTGCGACCAGGTGAAGATTTTTTTATTTTAATACTTGCTTCATTCGTGTTTGCTAAACGTCTATAGTTTATCCATATTTAAGATCTATAAATAACAGTTTTTATATCCATAATATAATAACAGTTTTGCTTATAAAATCACTGTTATGTTTAATTGATAGGTTGGTGATAGAAATGCTGACAATAACGATATGGTAGATTTTCTTTTGTTACATTTCTGTTAATTGCTTGATCTTCTCATTCTAGATGGAAAGGAGAAAGTTCTTATAAGCTAGAAAAGCAACTCTTCGCAACGATTAGGACAGCAGCAACAACCAAAAGAGCCAGAACAATTACAGCAGACAGCAGCACCATCAGCCAGCTCCCCCGTATGCGCCCTCACCTCGTGGACCTCCCCCTCGTGGACCTCCCCCCATACGTCAGCAGAGGATTGGATCTAGACCCACCACCTCCACCGCCTTAGTATTAAAGACAACAAATGTACCACACGTCAATTCTTGTAGACATTTAGAGAATAATTAAGTTTTCTTTACGAATACGATTCGCTCAATTAAAAAACTTCAAAGCTATGCGGCTAAGATCTATATCTCCAATGTGAAATATTAGCCGTGTATCAAACATGGAGACAACATTTCTCATCTTCGATTTAGGCCAGTAGCTTCTGACCCATTTATCAAATTATTCCCTCCTTTTTTCTTTAGCTTAGGTTAAAGCTGTGAAAACGTAAATTCAAGGTAAGTTTCAAACCTCTTGGGTGCGTTTTGCATATCATCCTTAAAGCGTAGTAGGAAGCGAAGAAAAGTAAATCAAAGCTGCTATTTTCTCCTCGAATAGATTATTCTTAATATAATTGCTTGTCCAGAATGATTATCAGCGTCTTTTTTTCGGTAATTGTTCTGCGATTAAAAGACGACTGCGATTGACACCAAGGAGTAGAGGAACTCTATGAACAAAACAGCTAGAACGTTAGAACGGACTTCACCTTGCTGTATTGACTTCTAAGGATATTTTAGATTTTTTAGCCTGCTTTTCTATAACGTACTGTAGGTGTCGAAGATATATTATTATCACAGCTATGATAAATGTCATCAATTCTCATCGTGCGCTTTGGTAATAGCTTTAGTATTATAGGAGATTCTAACTTTTGCAGGCGATTTTACTTAGACGTATATTAGCTATGTAAGGTAGTGTACCAGTCCAGGAGGATACATCTTGTATTCCGCTATAGCAATAATGGGTTTGCCTCCAAGCATTTATGATAGTTGTCTGGGTGTGCAGTTTGTCATTCAGCCGCTGAATTCCTTTGGCAGAAGAACTTTGATTTCACGCCGTCATCGTCTTTGACTAATATGAGGCTGTAGTCTAGTTCGAGGCTACTGCCCAATTCATTTCGATTCTATCAATCTCTCGATATTCATGCGATCGTCCATTAGAAAGATAACATTGGGTTTGGGTGCTTAAGTTTTTGTATTGTCTCTCAATATATTTGTTAAAGAAAGAAGTTGAAACCAAAATGCTACTCAGCGGCTTTCCTCTGTTTGATTCAACCTTGAACTGGGCTTGGCCGAACTGAACTAACAGGGATTTCACAAGCCTATTACCTACAATAAAAAGTACAAAAGCAGACACCAGTCATCCCAATATGTAAGCAGCCAGCCAATAAATTAACTTGCCTTTTACCCCACCCACACCCTTTCGATGAGCTAATTCTTGGCAATCGTAGATTGTTATGTGAAAGGTGCAATAAATTTAAATTTTTTTATGTTATATCCAGTTAGAGATTTGATCAAGAAATACATTCGTAAATAATGAAAATTTGAGATTTTCGTTTGATATTTTTCCACTTGCGAAGTCACAATGTTGATATCATATGTTTTTCAGTTTAATGAAATCTAGGAGTGATTTTTATTGCGCCAAAGCTCTGAATTATTGATCTGGGTGCAAACAGGTTGTTGAAACCGAAAGGGAAACAAATGATTTGAGGAATACTCTTTGCAAATATCCTAAATTGATGCTTTCCTTACAAAGTCGACACGAATGTGTTTCGTTTTCACAGATCACTTTCGTTTTAGTTGGTTTAAACCTAGGGGCATATCACGCAACGAAAATCTCGTACGCCTTTCGCAAAAAGCGTTGTTTTCGAGAAAAATCTCTAAAAAGTCCCTAATATTATATTTTTAATATTAGGATATTACAGATATTTTTCCTTTTCATCGCAAACTTGTTTTGGACCAGGTATTCCTGGCTTCAGCGGGGTGAATGCTTCACTATTATTTGCGCTGTGGACCAGGTTAGGCCTGACTTCAGCTGGGGGAATGTTTACTATTAATGGCAAACCTGTTTTTGGACCAGAATGACAATCTTTTTGTCATTGACAGGAGAGATGTAATTGCTCTCTTTCATCTGTACTGGGTAGCTGATTGGCATTGTCTTTCATTTTTCACTGCCCAGCTGATTTTCATTGTCTAAGCAAGTTTTACAAATCGTTCAGACTAAAGATTGGATTTCTACAATGAGGCAACATACCAGATTTATAGAAAAGGGTTTTTTTAGTTTATTGTTCATCACATACCAGACTGAATAAGGTTGTTCCTTATTCAGTGCTCATGCACTCGCCTGACCCAGAGTGGTCCTGGCTCTCAACGGGGTAAGTGTTTATATTTGCCTAAGATTTGGCACATTTATTAATCACAAACCCACTTGGGCCAGGTTATTCCTGGCTTTTCGTGGTGTGCGTGTGAGTGATGGTTATTTGCCACAAGGTTGGCTGGTTGTTGCTCATGTTCCCGCTTGACCCAGGTTGGTCCTGGCTCTCAACGGGGTGAGTGTTTTTATTTGCCTGAAATTTGGCATGATTGTTTATCACGAACCTGCTTGAACCAGATTATCTCTGGCTTCACAGGAAGAGTGTTTTTCTGCTCTCACTATCCTTTACCCGCTTACCTTTTTCCGGCAATAATCTCCCTCACCCTCCTCTCCATGTAGTAGTATATCCACTAGGTAAACAGCACCATATGGGGCAGGGCCGAAACCAGCAGTGATATATAGGGGGGCGGAGATCACAATATTTCCGGCGACATATCTACTTCAATGGCAAATTCAATATCACGCATGCGTCTCGTTTGTCATTTCCCATTTGCTAGGTATACTGTAGGTCTAGTAGCCCAACCCAGTTTGCTATATTTTAGATGCAGATAGATTCCCTCAAGGTGTAGTTGCCTTCTTTTTGAAGTGTCTAGTCAAGGCAAAGGACCAAAAATAAATTTTTCGCAAGGACCAATTTTGGCTATTTCCAGTCAATGCAACGTAAAGTAATCGATTAGAACTAAAATTGTTAATATCAAAATATGGAAAGCTAAGAAAAATATCATCAGCCAGTTATTGGGATGTGACTGTGGACATTCCTAAAATTTTCCGACAGGCATTCAGATTATCCGGCAAACAGCCTTACAGGAGGGTGACGCGCCCTCCCATGCTCTGATCTGGGGTTAAAAGACTTGGCTCCCTTCCCTTCTCCCTCCTTAGTGCAGAAAGGGTTTATTAGGAGTCGGTGTCTGGAGGCAACACTTGGTGTTTTGTGGGCGGGAAACAGTTTCCCATTGTTGCCACCGACCTTAAAGAGAAGTATTCTCCAGGCAGTCAAGGGCTGGTGCACTCGCAGGCCCACTTCCTGGATAGGATTTTTATAAGGGGATTAATAGCCAATAACGCATCACGCAAAAATATGGGAGGGGGAGGGACAAAACCAGAACCGTCATATTTTCCATGATTCCTAGTACTAGGGGCCTGGGCCTGGTACCTTCACTGTTCAAATCCACTTTCTGAAATGACGTCATTGCCTTGGGACTACACCACAGCCTAAATGTTTTCGACAGAGAAGTTATTTCGCTTTTAACATAAACTAACAAGAAAGGAACTTTACACAAGCTGCTCAAGGTAAATTCGATAGCTTTTCTGTTTTTTCCGGGTAGCTGTTTTAATCCCACAGGAAATAAGTGTTGCTGCAATGATTAATGTGTATTTTTGCAACGCGGGCCGTTATTTATTTGTGACCTTCGATGTAAGGTAGCTTCCTTGTCTTGGATGACAGATTTTTTGGCACGTAGATATAGTATAAATTGATTTTGTCAGCACCTTTCATACCGTAGAATATAAAGTTGAACCGACATTTATAGCCGTCAAGCAAATTTTTAAGAACAGTTTGACAGAACGTCGCAAATCTTGCCTCACTGACAATTATGTCCAAAGTCTGACAGCTACAACGCCAGTTCCGCCTAGCCGAATTTGCATTGCAGTTCCCTTGATCGATTTCTTGCAATAGAAGGTATAAGAGCTAGCCACATGGCTATTGTTTGTAAGGTGACAAGCCTAGATTTGTTTGGGTACTGGTAGTTTTCACTGCAAAATTTGATGCCTTTTCATGCCATATTTTATATGATGCTCCGATGCATTCTTGGCTCCAAAATATCCGCACCAAATTTTTGACAGATCTCTGCTGTATGCGAAAGATATTGCTAAAACAGGGAGTAAGATTCACTCAAATAAACTGTATAATGTTGTAGTTTATTATTATTATTGATGTTATTCATATCCCCAACCCATCAGTCCCCCCCCCCCACCTCTGTGGTCTCTGGTCCAGGGGGTCAAGTTTCAAGTCACTCTGCAACATTTTGAGTACTTTTAATTGGGTAGATAAAACCCATAATGCCACATCCAAATAAATGCCTCACCTAAAATGAATTGAATATTCTCAGCAGTTGAACTACAATTGAAATTATTTTTATGATGACCTTGTAATAAGGGGCTTGTTTTAGTGGCACCATGCTGATAATGTAATTTCAGACCCGTCGGAACAGGGGGGGGGCTGGGGTCAATAAGTGTCAAACTGTAGTATGCTTTTCCTATAACAGTGTACTGAATGAGAAGGAAAACATGGGCAGCCCCCCCAATTTGAATTTCGTTCTGACGGCACTGAATTTGATTTAAAAAATTCACAAGTTACTTCTTAAAAAAGGTCTATTTCGCCATAGAGTATCTGGACTGCTAGAGTACTTTTTCATTTGGCTGTTTCTTAAATAAAGATCATAGACAGCTTGCTTGCCGTTACATTTGAATTATATGCCAGGGGTGGCTGAGTTGCTTCTAACAAATTCATTGGGGCTGAAACCCCTATGTAGCTGACTATATAGTCAATGCTATTAACATCCAAAATATTATGTAAATGCTGATTATGTTCAGATTTTTTACATTTGTTTGTTTGTACCGTTCTCAAAGCAGAGCATTCCTTATTTAAAATTAGCCTCAAGATGAAATATGATGTTTGTAGAAATGCCACTTTCATGCTGATTTTCATAGCATTTTCCTTTTCATTGTGCAGGGAGACTGATGTATTAGACACCTTGACCTATCTACTTCATAATGTTTTTTTGGACCTAGTAATTTTTTTATCTGATTCTTATTTTATTTAGCTGCCTAAGATTTCCACACAACTATCAGTTTAACTCCTTCATCATGAGAACCTCCCCCACTCAAATAATTTTTAAACATATTTAGATGTTCTATTCATGAACAAAACACAATTAAGTGATTTATATGTGTAACTTTTGGGCATTGAAAGTTTTTAGGCAATTTTGAAAGAAACTGAATTTCTCAGTTTTACTAAAGTGTTTACCCTCTTATTTTCACAACCATAACACTATGACACAAGCATGGCACCATGTGATCCTAAGTTTGCCAACTTTTAAAGTGATTGGTGATTGTGATTTCATGTTTTTTTAATAGATGGCCCAGTAAGACCCATGCAAAATAATGTTACTAAAGGAAAAATTTGGATGCTTTTGTCTTGTTTCAGTACTCTAACTCAATATTAGGCATTCATGTTTTCGTATTACTCTTGCTGAAAGTCTTTACAAGCAGAATATTAACATTTTTGCTGCTTTGTATCTGTCACAAATGTAAGCAGCTCAGCATTTCTCATGATATCAGTTAACTGGATCAACATTAACCATCAAGCAAATTTTTATTGATTGATTGATTGAAGATCAAACATATTACTAAAGAAATTGTATTTTGAAAACTAAACCACAGGAAGTCACATGGCTTTGTTTGGTCAATTAGAAGTGAATATTGTCTTTTAATGCCTCAAACATTTTTCTAGCTGTCTCCAGGCAAATAATCTTCTTAACCATCATACTTGCTGATGCTAGAATAACAACAAATACTTTTGACTTTATTTTTTCATATGCTGCAATTATTGTTTGTTTGACTAATAGAACAAAAGTAATAAGAATAAATTTTATAGAAAACTATATTATGATACACGGCAACTAGATTTGAATTTTGGTTTTTTCAGTCATTACGGATTTTAATATTTCAGAATTTTAAGTCTTTACTTGGAGAAAAAACTGAAGGCAATGATTTTGTCCTTTTCATCAATTTACATCTTGGAATATATTGTTGATCAAGGAATACAATGTAAAAGTTTGCTTAGACTGTCTTTTATAGTTTCTGAGTAAATTATGATACTACAAACTTAGATCTGGCACGGTTTCTTTTTTAAAAAATTTGACTGAGCTTAGTATTTTTACTGAAAACTGTGACCATAAAACCAATAAAAATATGTGTAAACTAGACATAAAATATTTTGTTTACAAAGAAATATGTGATTCAGCACTTCCACCTTCCACTCCCCCACCCCAGCCAAAGATTCATTTTACAGGGAGGCAACAATATGAGTGCATGTGACTTGTTGCAACTTTTATTTTGCAACCTACTACAATGGATTGCCAACTGCAACAACTTGCAACTAATTTAGAATCAATACCCTACTTTCAGGTTAAGTTGCTTTAAGTTGCATGTCACTAGCTAATGAGATTGTTAAAAAATCATGTGGTTTTTGTTTAGTGGAGAGAAGTTAAGATGGTAAAATCTATAAAATTTGAATGGTCATTCAAGAAAGAAAACTCACTGGTTGACTCTGTTGTAGCATGTTATATCATCCCATGCCAACCCTCTGAGAAGGCAAATATGTAATTGATTGTAATTGATCGCACCTGGCAATTCTCTGCTTCACCAACCCTCTCTGTTTTATTTGTGTCATCTATACCATCGTTTATGCAGCAGAATTACTTACATTAAAACTGCTACACAGACACAGTTCTTTTCGTTTGACGCGAGCGATCACTCGCGATCGCGTCGGCACTCGCGCAAACCCAACCGCGCGAGCGTTTGATCCCTTACGCCAAACGGTAAATTGTGAGGAATAAATGTCTCATTAATCAAGACATTTCTAGTTATCTTTTGTGACCCAAGCAAGTGACATAGACAACAAAGCCGTTATATCAAACACAGGAAATATAAGTAAGCTGACTAAACCACATCTCAACGAAAAAATGCATTAGTATTTGAACTACAATAGCACATAGGACATTTTCTGGGCAGCCAGACTGTAAAGTATTTTTTCTGCGCGGGGAACGCCAGAACAATAATTTTGAAATTTGTGGATAACGAACGTTTCCCGCGAAATTGTGTGCGGAATTTGAAGCAAAGGCTTTTTATCAGAGCGACCGCTCGCGCAAGAGAAATCATGCGAGCGATCGGCCACTCGAGTGGGCCGAGTGGGTTACTTCTTATGAAATGGCCTGCAGACAGATCCTGTCTCCATTATGTTTGACTATCCATTTGGTCTGCAGGATTGCCACTGAAAATCATGTAACTTGTTTGGACATTTTAAAACCTTATCTTGCTGGAGATTTCATCTCTTTTTTCATTTGTAGACATCACAAGTATGTTGCAACAAGTTGCAATCTGAATATACCTTAGTTAATCTATTGCACATTTTAAATTCTTTTCCAGCTATTTTTTGTCATCTTTGAAATTTGAAGAAATACTTACTGCCTGTATTGTCAAAATGTCAAAAAGGCTAAATTCATTATTCCAGGGCTCAACCTCCTTCTGAAGACATTTATATAACAAAACATGACAGTAAAGTATTAATTGCCAAATTAATAGTTAAAATGTCATCATCATTAACGAAAACCCAATATTATGTCACTTTTGGTGGCATAGCATGATAAGCATGGAATTCATAGCAACAAAACAGCAAGAACAATGCAAATTATCCAATAAACAATTAAAATCAGCATTGCCTGTGCTTCAAGCTGCCAGCCAGCCCCAAATACACAGAGAAAAGGCTCAGTTTTCAATGCTTCACAACTAGAAATAGAAAGTCTCCTTGAGAAATTTTTTTTAAAAACATGGAAAGGACTATATCAAAAATAATGTGATGCAATGCACAAACATGTACAAACCAACACAGTCATGGAAGACTGAAGAGGCAACATGGGCACATTTTCGAACTCAGCACAATATGCATACTTTTTGTTTTGAGACCCATTTGGGGCCAGGCCCCTGCACCCTCTATCTACCCCCTTGATTGTTTTTGATTGTTATCCGTTAGTTCAAGCCGTTTGTTAACCTCTGAAAAATTCTATCTGTCATATTTTTGCCCCACTATCGTATAGAGACATAAAATGGCATTTATGGAATACATTATAATTTCGTTTTTAATAATCTAGACAAGAAAGACTGTCGTATCCGAATTTCTGAAGATTCATTTCAAAACAAGGCACAGACAGTTTTCAAAAATATTTTTCGAAACAAATCCTAATTTATTGTGAACTGTCTCCTCACAAAAGGAGATGTGCGTTCAAATTTCGTATATTTCCATTAAACTGGATAGGGTTTTCATTTCGCAAAATTGATAGTCTGTGCCTTCGATCTCTGACGTAATTGTTACTCCTACTTTAAATTCAATTTCTGATTTCTAATGGGTGACTTAAATGTGACAAGAGCTCCATATAGTTCGTAATGTGTAAGTGACGGTCAAATGAATTTTACGGTGACACAATTTCAAAAAAGACTAATATATCAGACAGGTCGTTTAGCTAAAAAATCTAAAGCGCGAAGTTTTGGTTTCAATATTTTAAGGTAATGTGTCCAGCTAGAGCAAGTGGCTCTGCGGGAGTTTTCAGGAACATGTGATTTTTCATATCATCGCCCCAGCCATTACGGTCGTTCTGTTTATTTACCCTGCTGCGAGGTTAGCTTTTCATGTGAGCAGTTTTGCATCACAAGAATACTAACCAATCGCAAGCCGTTATTTTAATGAGTGGCTTGACAAGTTGGGTATACGCAGTCCTTTTATATGGACACATTACCTTTAAATGGAATAAATAAAATGCCTCCAAGCTGAAGCCCCCAAAGCTTCCAAGTCCCTCGAGTCCCCAACCTCCTTCTAGTTGGCACCTTCTAGTTTTGGACGGGGACATACCAATTTGATTCAATATTTGGACCCAATTTTTCTGCACATGTCTGAAAAAATGTAGCTCATAAAACATGATGAAATTATACCATCATTCCGCAAGACAAATAACATTTTAAAAACACCAAAATCATCAAACATATTTTGTATGTCTTTTGCCCCAAATGGCAATATTCCACGTATTTCATACCTTCATGCTAACTGGACATTCACTTTTCTAATGCCAAATGTCCCACCAAACTTTGCAATATTTTTCCAAATTGGTACCCGAAATTCTGCATGTTTCTTCAAATTGTACCCATAATTTCGCACATATTTCAAAACTGATACAGATAATTCTGCACTTTTCAGAAAAAAGGTACCTCCAAAAATTGAACATCCCCGTGCCTCAAAACCTCAAAACCTAACCCCCCCCTCCACCCACCCACCCCCCCCCACCCCCCTCTCATGAGCACATTTCACGCTATAGTTTTACTCATCTGTAGAGAAATGCTATCAAAGTGGGCTATTAGCCAGAAACCACAATGCTACCGAACTGCACAAACTGCAAAGGTTACAGAGGTTGCATTCTGCCAAAAGATAGCAAGATCCGTTAAATAGAGAAACATGGTGGTGGCAGCGAAAATTCATCCAGAAATTGTGCGAGTCGAACAGCATAGCTTACGCAATTCCTTCTACACTTCCTGGAAGTACGAAATCAACAAATGATCTTTATTTGTTTTCATTTTGCCTTTTTGTCAATGAAAATGTTTTCAGTGACTCGCCACGTTGCTGTAGAATTGTTTCTACCAACGAATTTCCTAACTTTTTCTCAAATAGATACGTAGTATTTACCTTGTAAATACGGTTAAAGCTTGTTTTTCAGAAGTTTATAGGATATATGGTGTTTATTCATTATGTGTCTAATTTGCCTCGTTCTGTTGTAGAATAACTGAGTATTCAAGCAAGTCAGCATTGTTTCATCTATTTGCTGTCAAAGAATATGGCGATGCCAGGAAGCGGCAGCCAGACGGGACACACCAGCCGCCAGCGTCTTCGTCCTTGGCTGATTGATCAAATAAACAGTGGCAAGTACCCTGGCCTTAGTTGGATTGATGGAGTCGACATGGCTTTCAGGATTTCTTGGAAGCATTTTGGGAAACCTGGTGTGGACGAAGAGCGAGATGCAAAAATCTTTCGCGAATGGGCTAGGCACACTGGGAAATACAAGGTTGGCGACCAACCTGACCCATCAACCTGGAAAACTAGATTTCGATGTGCACTTTACAAGTTACAAGATATCGAAGAATTGCCAGAGATGAATATGCTAGACGGAGACGAGCCATATCGTGTTTACAGATTTAAATCCAAAGGTTAGCTTGTATCTCATTCACCTTTGCTTACTTTGAGCTTATTTCTGTCTGAAAGCTTTCGTTTTTTGGGGTTAGTCTTGCCAAGGTGTAGACGTAGCATATATTAAAACTTCTATTAAAGGTAGGCGCTGTTGCAAGTTTTTATAGCATCATTCTGTTATGATTTGCCCTTGAATCGAAACAGTCTTACCTGCCAGCCTTGTTCATATAGCAAAATCCTTTTGCTGATATTTCATGATCGTTGTAAATAGGAAAGAAATTTCCTGGTACGATCCGCAAAACTTTTCCGTGTTAAGCCATTCTGTAATTACTTCATATATTGTCGTATTTCAAAGTGTCAAATGGCTCGGTTTTATTTCGATCAACAATAGATTAAGGAGGGCTAAACATACCTCAAATATCTTGAGGAATATTTCTGTTTTCTAAAACTTCTAGCTATTCCAAATTTTAAGAAATTATAGAAAAGATTTTCTACCTCTATTTGAATAAAAAAATTTCCATTCAATTTTGTTAAGTTGTTTTGAGTTTTATATTGGATAAGATTATCTAAAATAGCTATAAGAGGTTGGGAACCTGTGTTATTGGGTTAGCCACAGTCTTAATCATCTTTAGCAAACAAAATTTTTAGTTGTTTATACATTTGGAGCAATCGTATGACATAAGCTTGAAAGGCCTTGGAAAAAGTGGCAGTTTCAGGGGCGGACTGGCTGGTCGGGCTACCAGGCGATCGCCCGGTGGGCCCTCCCAAAATTATTACAATTTTTTCTTAATTTTGCTATTAAATGAAAACTCATATCGTTTGGTAGGGGCCCTCTTCTGTGGATAGAGAATGAATAAAAAGATCACTTTGATGTATTCAAGTACTGAAAAAGCATTTTCCAAAATTTGGGGCCCCATGTAAGCACGGAGAATCCTGGGCCCAGGGCTTAGCTCCTTGTCTCTAATGCAATAATACGCTATTTAACTGGAAGTTCCAAAATTTGATAAATTTTCTCTACGGACCCTCAGTTTAAATGTTTTAATTTAATGATAGTGTAAGGTGGTAAGGACATGACAATTTTTGTGGCTCAATTTCTAGGAAGGTACATTATTTTAATGCTAACCAAAAATATTTAGAGTATAGATCAAAACAGCAGAAGGGCTCAACCCCCTCAGCTCTGAGAAATTTTGCTGCAGTACATCCATACTTTGCTCCAGTATAAAACATAAATGATTTGCCAAAGATCTTAGGTATAAAACATCGGTGCTTACGCCAAATTTTGGTGTGTTTCATCGGCAAAATTTCGGCATAATTCCTGTGCTAGTTTAAATTCGGAAATATGCTGACGTGGCGAAAATATGCTGAAGTGGCAAAAACCATGCGTTTCAAGCTTTATGCTCATAGAAATGTAAACATGAATTGACATCTAAACATAGAAAGGAAGACACGTTACTCTTGAAAGTTTCTTACTGAGATCATTTATTTACTGTCTTCAAAAGACAAGATAGGATTTTTTATAATTGCATTTCAAATTTGTTCAAAGTTATGTGTGTCGGAAATGTAGGTCTTGTCGCTTGAGAATAAGATCTTAGCTTTTTGGTAATTGGAAACTAGTAGGGAATGGGGAACTATTGTAAATGAAAGCTTGTATGTGTTGCCTAAGATCGTCCTTTCGTCAAACTTGATATGGGAAATATTCTAGATGCATTTTCTGGCCATCTCTGTAATGTCATATTTCAAAAAATTTTCTTGTATTCGGCTAGAATTTCTAACCATGGTGATGGCCTTTATTTAAGCCCTGAACAATCTAAACATTTCACCCCCTCCCCTATTTCAGTAGCGTTTCGCCTGCCCTGCCTATGCTACTGATGTTACCATCTTGGTTGCTGCGCAAACAATCAATAACCTGGCTGCTCAACCAATGATCGGAAGAACATCCATCCCTATTATGCTTTGACTTCTTGAATAACGTAGATATTTCTTGAATAACTTAGATATTTAATTAAGTTCTACCCTGGGTAGCAGAGCATCAGTGATCGAAAAAGGTTACCCCTCTAAATACCATTCGCCGTTTTTTATCACTGAGGCCCCTCTTTAAAAGTCCTTCAGCTAGAAAACAATAATCCCCCCCCCTCCGCAATGTCATGGTTTTCTCTCATCTCTTATTCTATGTCAGAATTAAATTTCCAGTGAAAATGATGCTGACCTGGACTAAGGATTGTAGATCCCCTTGGTAAATCTTTTACACCTACGCCTACACCCCTGGTGGCTACTAATTAGAATTAATAGCAATATTCCAATAACGCTTTAAGAAATTATAAAAAGTGATGCAACAAACAACTTTGGGGATACCCTTAAACTTATTTTTGATTTTCGGGGCCCTTTCTTCACGAATTAGCCCGGGCCCTAAATTTGGAGCCAGTCCGCCCCTGGGCAGTTTCACAAGAACTGAAAATATTTCCAGGAAATTCCTTTGCAAATAAGAAAAATGAAATTTCTTTGCGTTTTTGAGTGACTCTAGTATTGGACCTATCTGCCGCATTGACCCAGAAACTCATCTGTCTTTGTTCTTTCCATCTCTTTTGCTTTTCAAGCCTTTTCACTTTTCAATGCTGTGGTTAGTGCTTATTGTTGGCTGCTTTAACTTTGATAAAACACAAAACATAAGCCTAAAAGAAAAAAAATTGGAATCTTTTTGACTGAAAATGAGCTAAAAACAGGGCTGTAGAACTAGGGGGCTTAGGCGCTATAGACCCCCTCTTTTTTACGTCAAGAGTAATGTTGTTAACCCTATCCTTCTTCTCGCTATTGTTTTTAGTTCATTCGATTGATTGCACTAAACGACTGATTGAAAAAACCATGAGCTGCTTGCAGAGAAGGTCTCCGCTGTAACTGTTACAGTGGGTTTCGCCATATTGAGAAATTTTCTGAAGCGTTCGCCTGAATACTAACTTTTTTTTCTTCCGACGTAATTCCCAGACCAGTTATTTCTCTTAATAATTATGGCTTCGCAGAAACTGCTTTTCCCAGTTAACAATAAAACAATTTGTTTATCAGCATGTTTCTTTCTTGCCTTGGATTTTGAAAGTGCTTCTTGGACTAGAAGAAGTCTTCGTTTCATATTTTAGTGTCGTTTAATTCTAATGGAAAGGGGCAGATTTTAACATGTGACCCAGTTTGAACGATGAATGGGTGAAGGTAAGCCACAAGGCCCACTTTTCATTGACCCCCATTTTTTACCTGATATACAAGTTAGTAAAAAGGTGTTTAATCTTTTTCTTTTCTTCAAAATGCAAAATATAAACAGTCTTCACTTTGAATTGCTTTGGTGACCAGTGCCTATTTTAGTGTGATCTTGACCACACTTTTCAGTCTTGGAATTCTAGAGTGCGGTGTTGTGAGGTTTCAAAACTGTGTTCAATTCTTCGAATTGAAACAAATTTAAAAACCGACATTTGAAACTTGGCCTATTGTCCAATTTTTTTCTATCCTTACTTCTTCTTTCAAATTTTCGAAGAGAAGTATGCTGATAAATCGCATCCTTTAATTGTACGATAAATCTTTATCATCTAATCAGTTTTTCGCTAAAATTAAACTAGAAGTCCCTATCCATATCATTGGCGTCCCCTGTAAGAAGTTTCGGTTCTCGCTTATGAAAGCAGTCAAAGCCTGAACAAGGAAATTTATGACCTCATCTGGAATGAGGAACTCCAACAGTGGTTAGTTTCGAGAACCCAGTATAGTCCTTTTATATCATGCTCAACAGTTAGCGGTTGAGTAACTGAAAGTTAACATTAATCTCTTCTAGACTGTTTTCCATGAAGTGAGTGAATTTTCATAAGAGTGAAGAGGCTGCGTCATTTCGCGCGGTGTTGTATCTTATCGTGTCAGGGCATATTAAATTACTATCTTTTCGTCTTTTTTGCAGCATATTATCAGGCCAAAAAATATTTGTAATTCCCGAAAAGTAAAGCACACGTAGCCCAATTTTTCGATGAAATACTCTAAATATTTTCAATTATATCGAGTATATCGAGTTTTTGAAAAATCTTCGACAAAAGTTTGTGAATTTGTTCCTTGTGAATTTTTCAAAGTGGATTTTAAAAGAAAGATGCATTAATTCGTGACACTGACCATAACGTTTCTTAACAGCCTTTGTTGTTGTAAAATTCCTCACCATTTAGAATATTCGAAACTGTGCTAGAGAATTTTTTTATCGATTTTCCTGATGCCAAAAGTGTAGTTTTTGCTTATTTTTGAGTTCTGAAAAACTATATAATATGAAATTAATGCCACATAACATCTGATTTCAGTACTGCAGTACAGCAAACTCTACTGCAGACAACTTTTTGACGAGATGAATTATGGGTCCTTGAAGTGTCTGACCCCAAAGAAGCCCCTAACCTCGCCCAATGTAGGACGCGTTTCGTTACAGTAGAGCGAGAGGCAAAGAAAAACGTACTTTTACGTAATCATGTTTCATGACTCAACTCTCGATGAAATCTCTATTTACATATAGCCATTTACATATCGATGAAATCTCTGTTTACATATAGCTAAATGTCATGTGACTATTAACTAATGCGCATGCGGGACATCAAATAAAATAGAATAAAATATTTACACCATATATGAATACCTTATATTATGATAGCACGTTATTAGGTAGCCATTAGTAACTTTTGCGTTTCTTTTTTCAGAGGAAGTGGAACAGGATTCTAAAAGTTCATCGGTGAGGACTAATGTATCTTGTTTTACTTTTTTCTTGCTGTTATGATTGATGTGCAGAGGTCTCGAATGAAAATTAAAATTATTGAAAAGTGAGTAAATACCAAAACTCATTGACTTAATGAAGCTGCCAAAGCTTTTACCAGCATACATGCGTTATCCACTGGCATTTTTATTACTGGAAATATATTTCCATCTTGTACTACAACATTCACACCCCATGTTTGTTCAACCATTTTCTCCCTATATAACATGTTAAAGATGTTTAATGTTATTGCTATTACAATGCATTTTTTTCTTTACTTCAATTGTTTGGATTTGCAGGCCAATGCATCATTTCCACCGAGTCCGGCCTTAAGCAGAGATAGCTTAATGGATGGTAAGTAGAAGGGGCAAACGTTTGTTAAGCAGAACCTCTATAGAAAGCTGTCTCAGTTGAGAATGCTACAGAGTTGGGGTAGGGGTCTATGAATTAGCTCTGCTATAAGATCCCTTCCCAACCATTTGCTTCTTTTTTAAAAAATTTCAATTTCATCAATTTAATGACTTGGTATCATAGATTATGGTAAACCTAGTCCAATTCATGTACTCGTTTCTCAATTTTTTATTAATCATAAGCTGTCTCAGTTGAGAATGTTACAGAGTTAACACTCTTTCGTTTCATTTCAATTCAGCAAATTCATTGCTTGCGTATTTATCTTTTAAAAGGAAATAACGCATTCATGCGAGAACATGATATAATTGTATGTAACATATCTTTAGCTGTTCCATAGACAGTCTGTCGGCTTGAGGTCATTCATCTAATTTATGTCATTTACCTCACCGCACTTAAATAGTAAGTTGATAATTTTCCATTCAGTAAAGACAAAGAAAAGGCAAACTAAAAGACAGAAATTAACGCGATCTTTAACGACCACTTCAAATCAAACTCAGTGATTTCCCACAGAAAGTCCTTTCCCCTTCTTTCCTTTTATTTCTTTTTCTTTTCATTTCCTTTTCTTCCCTTTTCTTTCCTTTTCTTTCTTTTCTTTTCTTTCTTTTCTTTCCTTTTCTTTCTTTTCTTTCTTTTCTTTCTTTTCTTTCTTTTTCTTTCTTTTCTTTCCTTTTCTTTCTTTTTCTTTCTTTTCTTTCCTTTTCTTTCTTTTCTTTCTTTTCTTTCCTTTTCTTTCTTTTCTTTCCTTTTCTTTCTTTTCTTTCTTTTCTTTCTTTTCTTTCCTTTTCTTTCTTTTCTTTTCTTTCTTTTCTTCCCTTTTCTTTCCTTTTCTTTCTTTTCTTTCCTTTTCTTTCCTTTTCTTTCTTTTTCTTTCTTTTCTTTTCTTTCTTTTCTTTCTTTTTCTTTCTTTTCTTTCTTTTCTTTCCTTTTCTATTTTTCTTTCTTTTTCTTTCTTTTCTTTCTTTTTCTTTCTTTTTCTTTCTTTTCTTTTCTTTCTTTTCTTTCCTTTTCTTTCCTTTTCTTTCCTTTTCTTTCTTTTCTTTCTTTTCTTTCCTTTTCTTTCTTTCCTTTTCTTTCCTTTTCTTTCTTTTCTTTTTTTTCTTTTTCTTTCTTTTTCTTTCTTTTTCTTTCTTTTTCTTTCTTTCCTTTTCTTTCTTTTCTTTCTTTTCTTTTCTTCCTTTTTCTTTCTTTTTCTTTCTTTTCTTTTCTTTCTTTTCTTTCCTTTTCTATTTTTTTTTCTTTCCTTTCCTTTCCCTTTCTTTCCTTCCCTTTCTTATAAGAACTTATAACTATCTTCATCTTTGCCTCTAAAAATTTGTTCTGAACAATATCTCTCCGCCTTTTTTGTTTCGTCTGATTTTACTAGCCATTTGTTACTAAGGCTCTGAAATTCACCCTTTTGTCTGTTAAATAACCCATTCTTACTATGAATATTTTACATATTTCTAGGTTCCAGAGATGAAGATATTTTTTTGCCGGTATGTGACATGGTTTATTCTAATGCTTCGACCACTTTTCTTAGACTGTTGTCATTAATTAAGATAGTGAGTAAAAGCTGAAAGCAATACAATGTCATAATGTGCTTGCCAGCCTTTTGACGTTTCTTTCTATTTACTATCTTTCGCTTTCATATTTCTCAATTTTTTCCCTTTAGAGAGATATAATGGAGATGAACAGACTAGGTAAGCCAAAGTTGCAATTAACTTAAAAAGATAAACATTGTGTATGGATATAATGACTTATAATTCTTCAGCTTTTGTAAACGGTTGATACAACAAACTGGTCAAAATTGTCTAAGCGGGCCAGTGACAAATCACGGTCGTAGCAACTGTAAATTTTTAACAACAAAGCAATGAACACGATAGGAATTGAGTTAACGGTGTAAGAAAGAAATTTTCTTGGGAGCACTAAGCTAAAGTAATCTATAGAAGAAAAGAAATTGAACGCGCCAACCTGGACGACTTCAAAATATCTTCTCTGAACTTAATTCAAGTGTATCTCAACCACTTTTCCTTTCGTAACAATTTCACTTAATTGAATAGAATAATAGAAGTATTTACTGATTAGTGTTATTTGGACAAATATAAACTTTGCGTCATGCGATTAATAGCGCCTCTGGGAGCATTAGGTGCGAGATTCACGGCCAGGCTTGATACAGTACCTTTTAATAAAGCTGACTGATTTCCTTTGATTCTTGTTAACCTGGCTCCCACTTGGTCGTTTGGGTCGTTTGAGTCGTCAGAGTCGTTCCTGAAAGACACGAACGACCCAAAAAACACATTGGTTTCCACTTGGTCGTTTGAGTCTTTCGAGTCGTTTGTTGTTGATGCTGTTCATTGCTTGCACCATGCATCGCTCATTTAATTTTGGCGGCATGCGTGAAAGGAACGGTGAAAGCATTTGATAAACAACAACTGATGTTGCAAAGTCAATTTTTTCTACCTCTGGGACTTTGTACAGACGACGATGTTAGATCACTAAATTTCAGTGCAATAGCTTGCCATGATTTGATATTTTTGTATTTATTTTTAACTATTTCCTGTAATTGTTATAATGGCACTCGTATTTTTGAACTTCCTCCATAAAGCTTGCTGTGAAATATTCAGCTATCTTGTTCTTGTTCTAGTCAAACACACGGTTACAAGGAAATCTCCTATTCTTGAAGAAAAAGTTATTAAAGCGTGGGTCGTTTGAGTCGTTTGAGTCGTTTGTCGGTTTTCACTTGCAAAAATCATTCATGCGTGGGTATTTTGGGTCGCGGAGATAGAATTTTTTCTATCTCTGCGACAACTGTCATTTGAGTCTTTCGGGTATTTTGGGTCGTTGGCAGGTACGTTTCAACTGTGTCTTTTCAGTCGTTTGGGTATTTTCCAACGACCCAAACGACCCAAACGACCAAGTGGGAACCAGGCTTTAGTGAAATTCTCGATATCATCGTTGTCAACATTAATGTGGTCACAGTATTATTAACAAGTCAATGTAATGAAGGGATGACCGCTCCGCTTGTTTTTATTGAACATGATTATGATGCAACACAATTTTGTATGGTAGGGTGCATAAACATCTTTATGTTATATGTATTTTGGCTAGTTCGAGCTGGATTAATCAAAATTTCAAGTTCTGTCATGTCAAGTTTGCCGTCTGCAAATCTTAAAATTTCAAGTCTGAATTTCTTGTTTATTATGCTGTGTGTTTTCAGGTGATATAGGAATCGACGAAGAGTTTCTTGCTGTAAGTTGGAGTTCTTTTTTCATACTTTTGAGTTGCAAATAGTTTTTCCGCGATCCGATTTTTACCTGGTTGGTGCAGGTCGAAAGCATAATTTATTTGGCTCAATGCACTACGTGCTGTTTTGAAATTTAAATTTGTCCATTTTAAAACTCTAGTAGCATATTTAGTTGCACAATCTGCACATTAAGGCCAAATATTGTTTTTTTCTCAAAATAACGGATACTTACATACTTTGTTCTGTTTCTTTAAGAATAAGTAATTTTGTTTATTATTTGATCACGCTGTTCAGGCAAATAGTTAGAATTCCAATATTTCTTTACATAGCACGTAAGAGTGTAAACGTACCATACTAAAGTACTTTTCATCCGACACTCCTCGTAGTGTAAATGACGGATAATGTAGACAGAAAGAGTTCATTTTCTCTCTTTGGCTCTTCATCTAGGTGAGATATAAGCGGCTGCGATTTGACAAAAACCAAGGAACCAATCAATTACATTACTCCTTCTCTCCTGTCACCTTCAATCCGCCTCCGAATATAACTTCTCTGCTTATCTTTGGATATAATCCGACGCTCTGACTCAAATTTACTTAAGTATGATATGTTTCCGCTCTTCCTTATTATTTTAAATTTGTGTGGTACCAAATGCTTATTCGAGTATTCCTTTACTTAGTAAAAGTATATTTCTTTTTTGTTAAAAAAGTGTTGGGGAGAAACAAACAGTGATATTTGTACTGTATTTGCTTCGTAGGAAGTCAATTCTGCTTTTAGTTACGACCAGACAAGGCTACAGGAACCTATTCCATCAACCCTATCTTCAAGTATGTATGCATGTTGCAAGTTTTCCATCGCAGTCAAACCTTAATAAATTGACACCTACCACTAACTCACCCCTACAAATAGTGGAAAAAAGAGTATTTTCCCCAAAGTTTCTTTCCGGAGGGCAAAGCCTTGTACAGGTAACTTCAAGACAGCTGATATATTCCTACAGCCGACATATTCCTACAATGTACGTCTCATTTTAAAGGAAACCTTCCTACAAAAGACACCTTCCTACAGGCGACATTTCCTTCAACATACACTTTACTATAAGGGAGTGCTTTCTATAACGGCCACCTTGCTACGACGGACACATTGTTTCTACCCACACCTTCCTACAACATGTGGCGGCTCCAGCCTGGGATAAGTGAGGGGGCAGAAGGTGTGTCAGGGACAACGCCCTTTTGGACCACGCTCTTTTCCCCTGTTTGAAACTTTTTCTTCCGGAGGAAACACCTGTTGTCTCCCAAGAAATGTCATTTACATGTGACGATCTAGATAACGTACATACCCCCCCCCCCTAACGTTTTCTCATCAGGTTTTCAAAAATCTCAAGGACCAACTTTCTGAAAAAGCGAGGGGACTAGTCCCCCATTCCCCCTGGCTCCGCCACTGCCTACAACCGACACCCTATATAACTAACATCTCCCTAAAACGTACGCCTCAATAAAGCAGATACTTTCCTAGAGCCGACATCTCATAACATCGTACGCCTCGCTTCAATTAAACCTGGCTGCAGCTTTAAATCCTAATGACTAAGTGCCTCTAGATATTTTCCTGTGTTAACGATATTTTTTGCATTCACCTCCTTTTGAAATTACCGTAGTCTCAACCTTGGTCTATATAATTCTCAAAGCCTTTAAAGTTTGCTTATGGCCTGTAGTAGTATTTTAGGAAATCATGAATCTAAGGTAATACTTATTTAGCGACCACTATTAGAGTATTAAGACATTAAGCGTAAGCAGGACTCGCAACTATGAGTTTAAACTGTTTGTCTTACAACAGTTTATCACTTTTCAATGAGTAGTTCGGCAGTTCTTTTTCTTTTGCCTCTGGCTAATCAATTTTGAATACACAACTGTGTAAATAGAAATAATTCTATTTACATGGAAGATTTTCGATTTAGCCAAAACACTGAACCCGACTCGCCATTTTTATCAGTTGCATCATTTATTTGTCTAAATTTTGGTATTCTCAAAATCCTAAAATCCTTGAGAAAGAAAAATCCTTCCAGTGTTCATTACACGTTTATTTATAAGTAAGACCATCACTCACTAGACTTCCAAATACTTTTGCTTATCGTTCCTGATAAATCGTTTCTATCCAGCAAGTCATATGCAAACAGCTTTGTTTTTCTTACTTATTGTTTCGTGTGGTCATCCCTGTGGTGTAGTGGATAACACTGTTGCCTTTTGCCGCAGTGCGCAGACATGTACCGGTTCGAGCCCATCACTCGGACCTAACCATAGAAACAAAAAATTAGCGGAAATCTGGTCAGGGGCTGGAAAGGCCTAGATACCTGGCAACCAAATAATATCTTCGTGTTCATTTCACCCTTTTCCGTCAGAAGTGCCAAACGTTTCTTCCATATTGGCTTTCTTCTATACCAATTTCAGATCTCTGATGAAATATGTTGCTTGAAGAGGCAATCCTTTATGTATTGCTAGCTAAGTATTTGCAAAAGGGAGGGGATGGCTTGCTTTTATCGGATGCGTTTACCCAACTTGACACATGTTTCTTCTTTTCATTCAGCGGTGAGTTTACAAGTACAGTTGTATTTTAAAACAAGAGAGATTGGAGTTCCGATACTGATAAACAACCCTACTGGTTGCCGGATTGCATATGGAGCACCACCCCCGTTACCAGATGATTTAGCAAATGGGGGCAATGCAGAGGTAGTAAGCCATATATTTGGGCCATTTCACGCACAACAAGTGTACTATCCCGAAGCTGATGATGCTGATACGTCGCGGCTGCTTCCTTACATGAAGCGTGGATTGGTATTGCAGACAAATAATAGCGATATTTACGCAACTAGACTCTGCCAGGCAAAGATATACTTCTGTTCCTCGCCATCTGGTGAAGCGGAGCCGATAGAGCTGCCTAGAGAACAAACGACCAAAGTTTTCGATTTTCAAGGCCAGTTCCAACCGCAGCTAAATTTAGCTCTCACTGGAACTGTGCGTCCACCACGCCCAGAATTATACTTTAGCTTCGGACAACGTTGGGGATCTGGTAACAGTTTGTCTTATAACTTGGTGTATGCTTGCGTGACCCATGTGTTGGCTGACCAGCAAATTAAAACACTTTTCAGCCAAAAATCAGAAGTACAGGTTTCTGAGCCGAATCCTCTTGACGATATAGCAACACAGATCGATGCTTTGAATCTAAATGGACCGATAATTCATTGACCTTTGCCTTCGTCAAGGTGCCGTTTTTATGACTAGACAGGTAGATAAAGGACAGGGCCAATCCTATCGCTCTGAACTCATTTAGAGCTGTTATTCGTTTAAAAAAATGTATGCCCATTAACAAAATTGTCTAATTTCTCTTTGGTGACGAGAAATTTTATAAAGAGGTTCTTCTAAAGAGCACTGCCATTATTTCAAAACCTAGCTCAAAGTGTCTCCGAACGTAGTTGACAAGACGCAAAGAATACCAAAACGGTATTTAGTTTTGTTAAGGCCCAAGCTCTTCCTTATTTCCTCTTATCTTAGCGCCGGGGAACTACAAGTTTTCCGCATCAGGAAGCGTAAGCTTGAAGTCTTTTTAAACTTTGCCTTAAGATCGAACTGTATTGCCAGAAATTTCCAATCAAAATCTTCTTATCGTTTCATATAAAAAACCGTGTTAAGACAAGAAGCACAATATCAAACGAATGAAATACTTGAACAAAATTAAGGTGGTAGTCTTTGCTATTGCTATTTTGGTTTAGTATTCCAAATTCTTTGTTATTCATGAGTTTACATGGTTGCCATGTTCTTTGAATTGAAGTTACGGATGCTTTTTGTAAAATAACCAAATTATGACTACAAATATTTACCTTCAAGTATTATGACTGCAAAGATATGTATTCCATAATTGTGATTGTGAAAGATATTTCCACCCTGTTAAGCTGTTTAAAAGCTATATATTGAATAGGGTATACCGTTGATAAGCAAGATAAGACCTTTTTTGCCAGCCTGTCGTATGGTCACCAATGCCGTATAGGCAGAGCGGTTCATTGGACGTTTTTGAATAGCATCCATTTGAGTTGCAGCGACATAACGCGTATGGTAAATCCATTCAGTTTCACTCATTAAGTTTTAGTAGGCCATTGAATCCTTTCGCCTCCTATATAAAGTTCATCCTTCTTAGTTTTTGAGAACCATTAAAAGGCTTTGCCTATCTAACAGTTTTATTATCAGAACTTCTTATGTTAGTCTATCTTAAAGATATGGTTTGTAGCTATGAATATCAATATAAGATTTATTTTCACTGAGCTTTGTATGTTTTTTCGATTAAAAGCTGTTCCAAATTCCGTCCTTATCGACCTCCCCTGTGATCTGATAAGACCTCTAGATTTCATCAACCGAGAACCTGAAAATGTTGGCTCGCTTGCGATTTATTAGTTGCTCGTATTTCAATTCCTTTGATTTTAAGACCGAAAGGAATGTCAGAGGTTTCAAATTAAAATGGGGCGTCAAAAAATGCAAACATTTTGAAACATACGACTTAAAGCTTTTCATCCTACACTCTTCCAAGTATGAAATGTCAGAACAAAGGTCGAAAACTCAAAGGAAGGAAATATATATACCCAGTTGTGGATCGAAAACGGCCAATCAGAAACACGTGGGGATCGAATAGGCAAATCAGAAGCTATTCGCTCAAACGGCATAGCTTGTTGATGAATGCATTCGTAGTGCAGGCTGTTTCGAATTTCGATGTGCCCTCTTGACTGTAGTCTGTTCTTTACAAATACCAGTATTGTCAAATGTTGAAATATACTTAAATCCTTATTTTTCGGGTCTTTTTAGCATAAACTTAGCGCTTAAGTTATATAAGCTTGTAATATCAGTACTAAAAGTTGGTTTGCCTTACTTTTTATATAGCCTTAACACCTTATGGTACTACAACTGCTTCTTGTTTTTTGAGAGTCTTTCTTTGACATGGTAGGAATGTTTTGCCTCTACGCATTGCGTATTGGGATTGCTGTTGACGGGGACAGATTTAGTGTCGATGGCCGCCTAACCACTGGCCAATCTTGGCGTTCATTCAACATGGACCTATTCCTTTTTTTTTAATTTTGTTAGCTCGTAATGTTAGGGAGAGGCCAGAGGGACCTTTAGGAATGCCCTAAAAAGGAAATAGAGGGAAAGGCTAAGAAAGGAGAACACGACAGCAGGTTTTTTCAAACTGGATTTGAAAAGAAAACGTGTTATTAAAATTTTATGCAAAAAGAGCTTTCGAAAGTTTTCCAAAGTTAACAAGCTCTGGGAAGAGAAGATGTGGAGAATTGCGGTCTCTCTCGTGTTTAGGGTGCCATTTGCGTTTCGGTAACCTTGTGCATTTCGGTTTGGGTACAAAAACGCATGACAGTTTTGGTTATGCAAAAACGTACTAGAGCATTCAACAATAGGGACCCAAAACAAATGGTGAATTTTAGCATGCAGAATGGTCCGGCTGGGTACACATAATGTGTCTTAACATCACCCTATGATAAGATCACATGATTTGTGACAGAGTACCAAAATGTATGTCACATTTACCCGTCGCTAGAGATGAAACATTTGTTTTCCTGATAGGACATTTCATGGAATCTATCTGTAAAATATGGATTGGTCAGCAACAAAAGGTTGGACAGACTCTGTGAGAGTTGGGTTGCTGTAAGTACTGGATTTTATAATGTAAAGAAAATTTGGGAATATGTTTTCCAATTTTTCCACTTCTCAACAACTGTCGAATTATTAGTAAGAAATGGGGCTGGAGATGTTTCTTCAGAGAATATACATAACATCTTCTTAACAGAGCAGTGATTTTCGATTTTCAAGGATATCATACACTTTATTCCCCAGACACAAAAGAGTCAGTTCATTTTTTTACACATCATAAAGATAATATAATTTCGAAGCATAAATTGATCAATAACGGACATTTTAATCTAATTGTGAAATTATTCTCACATTTGCCCATGGGCGGATTTAAGCAACAATGATTAGGGGGGGGAGTGTTGGACACTAATTTTGGTGCCACACCTTTCAGGTCACTGGTAAATGATGGAAACGCCCATTTTTAAACTTTAAGGTAAAAACGATAAAAAGCAGTAACGTAGCTAGGGCTAGAAGATTGTTGAAGCAAAGAGGAGAAAATTTTTGCTGACCAGACCCCTAAGAATTTGGGTAAACACCCATCTTGGAAATGCGTTTGGAAAAGCTATGGCATTTTTACATGACAATTTCCCTTTATACAATGTCATATGTAGCGTTTTGTGGCTGACCATATTCTACAACTGTCTATTTCCTTCACCATTCCACTAACGTTTATATCCTGAATTATGTAAGGCGAGGAAGCACTACGTTTAAAAAGTGATTTTCCAAAGTTGTTATCAAATATCTAAAAATAGCAAACAGTATTCAAAGGTTTTAAACCAAGTCCGTTCTCCTTGGAGCAAAATCCACGAGAAGCATTTCAGAATCCAATTTCTTTTAAGGATTGGATTGCTCTAGCATTTTAGTTTCTATTTTATCGGCAATGTCTCAAGAATGTGAAGGACTTTTCTATGCAAACCCCAAAACGAGGGGAAAGTGTTGAACATTCTGAACCGATTCAGAGAAGGGTTTTCTGCGAGCAAAACGAGCAGAAATTTCTTGCTACGACGCCTTTGATTAAAATACATTTCAGAATATTCCTCCCTCCCCCGCCATGCTTTTGATAAGAAGATAAATGCTGCTAAGAAAAAGATAAAGTCAAATCCTGGCGTTATTTTGTTAATACTGACTACCAACAAATGATTTTTACCAAATGAAACAATGTTTACCGAAAGACACAGAAATATTGGGGGAGGGGGTGTCACTTCCCCTACACCCCCCCCCACCCCTGCTAAATCTGCTCCTGCATTTGCCTCTTGTTTTTCTTTTCTTTTTACTCGTTAATATCAACATTTTGGCGGCATCTCTGGCTGTGATGACCTAAGTTTCTGTTTCAGTTCATTTTCAAAAATTCCAACAAATACAATTCCAAAAATAAAGGCAAGACAGACATACCTAATACAGAAGGAAAAATATAACTAATAAACAAATCTAACCAATTGTAACTAAAAGAATTACACTTGAGATGGTGATGGTGGTTGGTGACTAACCATATTGCTAAAACTTGTCATGCTCGCTATTCTTGGGGCGGACAAAATTTGGCGCCAGTTTTTTTCATTTCTGGACAGGAGGCTAACGTCCCCAAACTTTGTACTCAGTACCTTGCAGCTTGCTACAGCACAAGTCAATTTTGGTGCTGAGGAGACATGGGTGTCCTAAATGTAATTTTTGCTGTTTTATCCGCCGGAATTGCAATTATTCTGTTTTTTGCACTCAGACCGAAAACATATGGGCCTATTAAACCCCTTGAAGAGAAATGGTGGGGTGACGGTGTAAGAAAGCCAGAAAACCAAGACGTAACTCGGTTCCATCTCCAGTTCCACCCCCAGAAATACACAGGACTGTTATCCAAGCTGGCATCAACACGCTTCTTTCAGTCACTTGAAGATGTAAACTGGGAATATGGAACAAGGCCGGATTTTATGCAAACTGTTGTAGACTACTGGCAGAACAAATTTTCGTGGGAATCGCAGGTATCCGGCGTGGCATTGGTTCTATCAAGATAAAATAAAGAAGTTATTTATTTTATCTTTGTTCGATTTATCATCATCTTTGCAAGACCTCTAATTAATGTGGTCAGCAGGGACAGATTTTAGGGGCAAAGATTAGGTGAGGGGTGTTAGATAATAAGGGAAATAAAGTAAAGATTTGGCATCATCTGCCTCTCCTGACAACCAAAAATATCTGTACAGGGAATCAAAGCGAAATTCACAGATTGACACAAGAATATCAGTTGTGTCACACTCAAGGACCAAGATACGGGGGGCGGTGAGGGGGAGGAGGAGCTTGGCCCCCCAAAATACTTGAGTAGTATAAGTAAAGTGCTTTTAATTTATAAAATATGGCTGCTTTACACAGGCTGCCCCCCCCCCAAACAAAAAGTTGTATTTCAGTCTTTGGTCACACTCCCTGGTAAGTCCTTCCCTGGTTGTCATCATTCAATTAATTATTGAACATGATCCTAAAAGATAACTTTGGATGCTGTAGTATATTTCCTTTATAAAAGTGTACTAAATGAGAAGGAATACAAATGGCAGCCCCTAAAATATGAATTTAATTCCGATGGCACTGACACTATAATACCACACAATTTAACATGGTTGCAGGGCTTCCTTACTAAAAAGTTTAGAAGAGGGTCTCTGCTCTTGGCAAATTCAAGAGGCCACATCCATGGCCATACCCATACCACTCCCAATATGCTTACATTTGTGTTAAAGACCCCTTGTTGGGTGTATAAATTATTAAAACTATTCATTGACACAAAAGACCAATAAGAAATTGCTAATTCGTGAAGAATCCTTAATAAAGTAAAGGGTTGCGAACACATAATTTGTCCAACCAAATATGAACTCATTTGTTAAGGGGTACTGATTCCCTCCTTGAATTTCAACAAAGGGGGCTGAGTCCTCCTCTAGGGCATCACTGTATGGTTTTATCTAAAACTAGTTGACTAAGGAGGAGCTCTCTAAATATATTTCTATTACATATATCTCTCCAGTCATAAACAGAAATTGGTAAAAATATGATATGTACTATATAAAATATGATATGTAAAATATGATATGGTAAAAACATTCTTAGCACAAAATGAACCTAATTGACAAACTACAATTTATGGTATACTGTACTTTTGTACCAGTGGAAGTTTACTTTTTAGAATATAACAACATGTGAAATTTTGATTTTATCAAATCATCAAACCTTCCCTTGTCCATCAATTGGAAATTTCTTGATGTTTTCTCTTAAAAATGGTACACAGGTGGCTCAAATAAATGATCCTTACAGCAATTTTAATCTGATTTCCAGCCCTATTCTTCTAAGAAAACAGTCTAATAAAACAAGGAAATGATTTATGGTCTACTGTTATAGTAAACCAATTAGAAAATTAGATCTTGTTATCAATGGCCCTTCTCCAGACTTGGCCTTGCAACTCCAACTACCAGTTTTGTGGACACTGCTGATCTTATTCAAAATGCTTTTCAGCTCTTTATAGATGAAAACAGATTCTAGAATAACTTGGAAGTTACTTTCTATTTCTATTCATTTAAGCAAGGAAGACTGGACATAACTATTAGCAGTATATATGATGTTTTTTAATTTCCTTTTGGTTTAAGGATTAGCTTTGTCACAGATATATTTTGAAGTCAATCAAAGACTTGTTGAATTATTGTTGGCCCTGAAGAATATTTTCCCAGTGGGCCTTGACACAGATTTTATGCCAAATCTTTTCTGCTTTCCCTACACCAAGCAATGAAATGAAGATCAAGACTTGTATTAACACATTGTAGTAATGACCTAAATCCTTCTGTTGTTAATTTGGTTTTATAATATATCCATACTATATTTAATATGTTGTTTTCATCAATGTTTTTAATAATGTTTTCATACAAGCAAGCTTAGTACAAAAATATGCGTATCTTGAGATGGCAGATGGCATACTAAGGTCACATAGTTGCTTGGAACTTGGAAAATATGTGCCTTTACTGTTAAAAGTGTGAAAATTCAACAGAATAAAAGCTGTGAGAAAGTCAAGTCCAAAATGTGTCCTTTTTATCCATCCACTTAATTTTGTTTCCCATTTAGTCAGTGCCAGTCCAGCTTTTTGATTGCAGCATAACTAGAGACGTATCACACCCAGTTAAGAGTCAAACAGAACCACACCCAATAAAGGCATCACCTTAAAATTACCTCAGTAGATACTGAATTACTAAGAAATCAGCATGCTATAACCAAGAGTGCTATGGCTGGAGACAGGGATCTTAAATTTGCATATCAAAAACCTTCATAACAGCCTGCCTCCTTTGCCTCTTCCTTTTCTCAAATCTGAAATGTGCCTTGATCTCTTTTTATTGTTTGGCTGATATTGAGCTGTTTTTTAGGTAAATTACATGAACAAGTTCAAGCATTTCAAGACAAATATAGATGGCATTCAGCTTCACTTTGTACACATGAAACCCTCAAATGTGAAACCAGAAACTAAAGTTCTTCCCATCATTCTGGTACATGGATGGCCAGGCTCTTTCTTTGAATTTCACAAAGCCATACCATTATTGCTAGAAGAAAAAGATGGCATTGCATTTGAAATAGTAGTCCCTTCATTACCTGGGTATGGCTACTCAAGTGCACCTCGCAAAGCTGGTATGAGTCCAGAGTACATTTCAATTGTCATGAAGAAGCTCATGCTGAGGCTTGGTCACAAGTCATTCTATGCGCAAGGAGGTGACTGGGGATCTGATGTCGCTCGAATGATGGCCAGATTGTTCCCAGGGTGAGCTGTCTATGCAAGAAAACATACTTATTTTGTATTTTGAAGGATATAAGTACCTGGCTGTTTCTCTCAAACAAATAATTTCTCTTACTGTTTTTCTTTTCAGAAATGTCAAAGGCCTTCATGTCAATATGTGGGTTCATCTCACCAATCCCCGCTATCCAGTTCTAACACATGTGCTTGGAGCTATAGCCCCATCTTTAGTTCTTCCAGACAAAAAAGAAAGAGACAGAATATTCCCAGTTTTAGGTCTTTTACTAAATTTGTTAGAGGATACTGGATACGCACACTTACAAGGTAAAGTTTTCCGACTTGTAACTTGTTATACACGCTGATTCTCGATATTCGTTTTCTCATTTCGTTCATTTTTTACTCTGATGTGCTATCCCGAAACTTTACTTCAAATAATCATTCTCACTCCACTTAATAATCACCTGTTAATATTTATGCTGTTCATTTCACAGTTTTGATGACTTAACATACTTGTTATCTCTTTTAGTCTATCAGCATCATATTTTGTCACCGTATTTATTGTTTCTTCTACCTCCTCACATTCAGCAACAAAGCCAGATACCATTGGCTTTGCATTGAACGATTCCCCGGCTGGTTTAGCGTCCTATGTACTTGAGAAGTTTGTTATGGGCTTCAGTGGGACAACATGTCATGACAAGGATGTTCTTGCATGCACGGGACAAAAAGTCACCTTAGATGAGCTTCTAACAAACGTGATGATATACTGGGATACAAACTCCATGCCATCAGCTGTTCGCTTGTACAAAGAGGCTGTCCAGAGCAAAAACGCTGACTTGAATTTGTAAGTCTAACTAGCTTACAAGCCGACATATATTGTTTCCAAACATTTGCTTCGTCTTATTTCCAAATTTTTATTTCAACCAATACTTTATCTGCCTCTGAAATCTCATAAAATTGGTTTTCCACTTGTTTCAACTGCTCTACATGGTCTCGCGAATATGAAATTATGATTGAGTTTTTAGAATGCTTTCGATGAAATTTTTATTTTTTTTAATCAAATTATCTGCTTGCTGATCTACATTAAGTTTTTCGATTTACGTACCTACGGATTTTTGACCGAGCTTCTGAAAGCAAGGTTAAATACTTCATTATATAATCCAATACATAAGATAACATTGCTTAGAAAAAAAATTCCGTTTCAGCTACCCAATCACTGTTCCAACTGGTTTTGCAGACTTCCCTCGTGAAGCTCTCCCGCCTCCAAAATCATGGGTTGAGGCATCCTGCACCAACCTTGTTAGCTATTCAGTTATGGAAAATGGAGGTCATTTTGCTGCTTTTGAAGAGCCTGCTGCATTTTCAGAGGATGTCAGAAAATTTGTCCTCAAAGTAGAATCACTGACAAGCTGATCACCCAATTACTGCTTTGGAGCTGCAAACTGTTATTATATCAAAACATGATAATGAAGCCATATTTGACTTCAAGAAGTCAAATATCTTCAAAAGAACGACTATTTTATTTCATTTTATGCGCTTTTTAGAATATAAGAAACTTCAGAAGGAGTGCTATTCGCCGAATTGGTTTGATTTCATTCGAGCTGTAAAAATCGCTATTAAGAAATGTTCTTCAACAGTGGCCCTCTGTGATAATGTAAGCAGTAAACTGGATGTTGATTAAACCTTTTTGTTCGTGTAAAACGTATTTGTTTCTGCTTATGATTTCTACATGTTATTAAAGCCACACTAAAACGTCGGTAACACTGTCTTTATTTTGCTACCCCAATACTTCTATGATTTTTGTGGAAAAAGCAGAAGAATTCGTTTATCTTTGTATTCGTTTCATAAGAAAGCGGGTTAAGAAAGAACGATCAAGCACAATATCAAGCACAATATCAGGACGTGAACTTTTTTTTGCCAGCCTGTCGTGTGATGATCGATGCCGTATAGGCAGAGCGGTTCATCGGGCGTTTCTGAATAGCATCCAATTAAGTTGCAGTATTATAAGGCACGTGGTAAATCCTTGGCGCAAAACTTTTTTTTAGAGCCTTGCGACTGATATCATCATTCATTCAGTTGTAGTAGGCCATTGAATGCTTTTGCCTCCTTTATAAGGCTGATCTTTCTTAGTTTTTTTGAACCATTCAAAAGCTTTGCATATCTAACTGTTTTATTCGCAGAACTTTTTATGTTAATGATATAGTCTATCTTAAAGATATGGTTTGTAGCTAAGAATAACAATATAAGATTATGTTTTCATTGACCTTTGTATTGTTTTCGATTAAAAGCTGTCTAAATCCCGTCTTTATCGACCTCGCCTCGCCTGTTAACTGAAAGAACCTCTAAATTTATTTTAGCTCGCTCGCGATTTGTTTTCTTTAGTGACTCGTATTCCAGTCCCCTTAATTTTAAGACTCAAAGGAATATCAGAGGTTTCATATTAAAACGGGGCATCGAAAAGTGTAAACATTTTGAAACATACTAAAGCTTTTCGTCTGACACTCTTCCAAGTATGAAATGTCAGAACAAAGATCGAAAACTCATTAGAGATGAAATATTAGATCTCCTGGTAACATATCATTCGAGAGAAGTGGGGCTGGAGATGTCTCTTCAAATAATACACATAATATCATGTTAACAGAGCAGTGATTTTCGATTTCCAAGGATATCATACACCTTATTCCCCAGACACAGAGAAGTCAGTTCAATTTTTTCACATCATAGAAAAAATATAACTGCGAAGCATAAATTGATCAATAACGGACATTTTAATCGAATTGTGAAATTTTTCTCACGTTTGCCCTGTTGTTTTTCTTTTCTTTTTACTCGTTAATATCAACATTTTGGTGACCTCTTTGGCTGTGATAACCAAAGCTTCTGTTTCAGTTCATTTTCAAAAATTCCAACAAATATAATTCCAAAAATAAAGGCAAGGCAGACATACCTAATACAAAAGGGAACAAGTATAACTAATAAACAAATCTAACCAATTGTAACAAAAAGAATTACACTTGAGATGGTGATGGTGGTTGGTGACTAACCATATTGCTAAAACTTGTTATGCTCGCTATTCTTGGGGCGGACAAAATTTGGCGCCAGTTTTTTCATTTCTGGACAAGAGGCTAACGTCCCCAAACTTTGTACTTTGTACATTGCAGCTTGCTACAGCACAAGTCACTTTTGGTGCTGAGGAGACATGGGTGTCCTAAATGTATTTTTTGCTGTTTTATCCGCCGGAATTGCAATTATTCTGTTTTTTGCACTTAAACAGAAAACATATGGGCCTATCAAACCCCTTGAAGAGAAATGGTGGGGTGACGGTGAAAGAAAACCAGAAAACCAAGACGTAACTCGGTTCCATCTCCAGTTCCGCCCCCAGAAATACACAGGACTGTTATCCAAGCTGGAATCAACACGCTTCTTTCAGTCACTTGAAGATGTAAACTGGGAATATGGAACAAGGCCGGATTTTATGCGAACTGTTGTAGATTACTGGCAGAACAAATTTTCGTGGGAATCGCAGGTATGCGGTGTGGAATCGAGATAAAATAAAAAAGTTTTTTACTTTATGTTGGTTTTCTTTATCATCGTATTATACAATACACCTTATTAATGTTGTCAACTGGGACAGATTTTAGAGGCAAAGATTAGGTGAGGGGTGTTGCATAATGTTTGATTTTTGGTGCCACGCCCTTCAGAGACAAAGAAGGAACGCCCACTTTTGCAATTCCATGAAACAAGAAGATAAGGAAGATAAGAAGCACAATAAAGTAATGATTGGCGTCATCTGCTTCTCCTGACAACCAAAAATATCTGTATAGGGAATCAGAAGAAATTAACAGATTGACACAGGAATTGATGGATTCAAGTTGATGTCATCAATTTTGTATCTCGCTATCTACGGATCTTTTTCGAAAATGGACTTCAGAATTGAAATTAATTTATACTGAGAATTCATGCTGTTTGGGCGGTTTGGTCACATGTTACTTTGTTTCAAATATTTAGATATTTCTTTAGAGTTGACCAGAACTTGCTACTGCAGTGAAAAAATTTCACTACAGCAACAAATTCCATTGAAATGTATAGGAAAAGCTAAATTTTGAAAATGGGGTAATTCTCAGCTTGACAGCCCAAACAATTTGAAATTTTTGGCACAGACTAATTTTAACATGAAGGTTCTGATTCTGTTATCCATTTTTGCCAAATATGAAGATACAAATTGCTCGAATCCGAGAATATCATAGTGTCACTCTCCCTGGTATGTCTCTCCGGGGTTGTCAACATTCAATTAAGTATTGAGCATGATCCTTAAAGCTACCTTTGGACGCTTGGGATCATACTCCACAACCTTCCCCATAGCCCTACCCCTTCATAGATATAATACTGCATAACTGCAATGCAATATATAGCAAGATTCAAAACAACACTTTAATACCACACAATTTAACATGGTTGCAGGGTTTCTTTCGAAAAATCTACTCCAACTAATGATGTTTTGGAAAAAGAGGCAAACTATAAGCTTGAAAGAATGAGTGTTTCCAAAGAATTTTGCTTATGTCTCATCATCTTGTCATCTTGTCTCATCAAGTCGATACCATCTTTTAGTGATGGTCATGATCTTGGTCCTCCACTTATCCAGGTCCCTGGTGGCCTCCTGCAGATCTTTTAATGAGAGTTTCATCACCGTCTTGATGTCACCCATCCAACATGCAGCTTTTCTGCCTCTCCTTTGTTTTCCTTTGCACATTCCAAGCATTAATGGCTTTTCTAGACTGTTTTCTGTCCCCATGTGTTCAAAGTAAGAGAGTTTTTATTTCGTAATTCTTGCTTCTAACAAACATCTAGGCTGTATTTCCTCAAGATTTGATGTATTTGTTCGCCTTGCAGTCCAAGGTATTCTCAGCATCTGTCTCCAGTACCACTTTTCAAAACCATCCAGCTTTTTGGGTTCTGTTTCCTCATCGTACAAGACAAAAGGAAAGACCCCCGCATTCACAACCCTAATTTTGGTATTGGTGGTTATGTTATTGTAATTTCCTCAAGACATGTTTCATTATCCATGATTTTTCATCCCAAAAAAGTTGTTGACAATTTCAGTGTTGTCATCTTGAAGTTGGAACTCATTGATTTGTCTTTTTCCAGTTCAGATATAATCCCACCTTTGCACTGCTTTTCTTCACTTGTGTCAGCACGTTTACCAGTTCATCATTCGACTTTGCCATTATTGTGGTGTCATCTGCATATTTAAGATTGTTAATCTTTCTTCCTCCAATTCTGATACCTTCTCCATTTGGTCTTCCATTTTGTTTAGGTTTGCTTTCCTCATAATGAATTTGCTGTACATGTTGAATAGATATGGCAAAAGGATGCAGCCTTGCCTCCCTCCTTTTCCAATTCCTAAGGTTTCTGTGTCACCATGCTCTGTTCTTACTTGTGCCTCCTGGTTTTTATACAGGTTTCTGATGAGTTAAACTATGTGCTCTGGCATTCCCTTCTTGCGCATTACGTTCCACATGATACTGTGATCAACACAATCAAACTATTTTACTCGTATTTACTCATGTTTAAAGTCTTAACCCTTTGCTTCTGTCAATGCACATTGCACATGCGTGGTTCATACAAAACAGGTGGTGTGACAAAATTTCTCGTAACTCTAAATTTCATACAAATAAACTTTTTGACAGCAATTTGTCTGTCTGTCTTGCCATGATTTTTCTCTAATCATTCTTTATGTCTTCTATGAGTCTTGTAGCTGTACAGGCACAACCGATCATATTGCTGTTCAAACAGTCTCAGGTTACTTGAACCACAAATCAGGAATGGCTTACTCTAGAATGAATATAATCTGTAGAAAACCAGAACCATTTCAAAAGATTAATTATATCTGGGACTGGGCCACCTGTAGGTGTAACATTTGCATACCTGAATGATTTTAGTATATATTTTTATAAACAATTATATTGGGCATGCTACTGTAATGTAGCCTTAGATTATTTTCAATTTGAAGCAATGTTGCAATTAATGATCATCGATAATCATATCACGAAGAAATAATGAAATTTAAGCAAGGTAAAAACTCTGTGTGAAAGCAAACAAGACACAAAATACACATTTAATATTTGTATGCCCTTTAAGTTAACAAGATTAAGGTTAAAAACAGGTTGTAAAGCATATCTTTCTAGCATACTGTGTTACTTCGGTTTTGAAAAGGCTGATGATTTGATTTACATAGCATATTTTTAGAATTAGGCATCAATAAATACAGGTTTGACTGTAAATGCATGCACAGATAAAATTCAAGATTGATTTAAAACCATGATCTCCATTTATGTTATTTTGTATGTGTATGACCAGTGGCGGTTTTAGGGACTGTGGGGACCAGGACCAAAAGCATCTGCGGCCCTTGTTCTTTACAATTAACATCTTTTTTCTTAGGTGTGGGGCCCCTTTTGGCTATCATAAACATGGGGCCGGGGGCATGGCCCCCATGGACCCACCTTAAAACCGCCACTGTGTATGGCCCTGTCAATGTGAAAAGCCTACTCACCATTCTATCAGCCAATAAACAAACCTTTGAAACAGTCTAATGAAACAAGGAAATTTATTTATGGTCTGGTATTATAGTAAATCAATAAAAATCTTTTTTTATCAATGGCCCTTCTCCAGACTTGGCCTTGCAGCCATGCTGACTGATGTTCTTCAAAATGGTTTTTAGCTATTTATAGATGAAAACAAGATTCTAGAATAACTTGGAAGTTACCCCCTATTTGTATTCATTTAAACAAGGAAGACTGGGCATAACTATTAGCAGTATATATGATGTTTGTTTATTTCCTTTTGGTTTTAGGATTAACTTTGTTACAGATATATTTTGAAGTCAATCAAAGATTTGTTGAATTATTGTTGGCCCTGTAGAATTTTGTTGAATTTTTTGAATTATTGTTGGCCATTTTTCATTGCAGTACCCTATGGCATGCCTTGACACAAATTTGATGTCAATCCTTTCTGCTTTCCCTACCATAAGTTCCAACATTGATTTTTTTGTCTGCAATGAAAATCAAGACTTGTATTAACACATTGTAGTAATGCACTAAATCCTTCTGTTGTAAATATAACTTTTGGTTTTATTATATATCCATACATTTATTATAAATTTAATATGTTATTTTCATCAATGTTTCCAAAAATGTTTTCATACAAGTAACCTTGGTACAAAAATATTCGTAACTCGAGATGGCAGATGGCATACTAAGGTCATATAGTTTCTTGGAACTTGGAGAAAAATACTCAATGTGCCTTGACTGTGTTGAAGTGTAAAACATCAACATAATAAAAGCTGTGAGAAAGTCAAGTCCAGCAAGTGTGCTTTTATCCATTTTGTTCCCCATTTAGCCAGTGCCAGTCAATCTTGGTGATTGCAGCATAACTAGGGAAGTAATACACCCGGTTAAGAGTCAAACCGAACCACACCCAATAAAGGCATCACCTTGAAATCTGCTCAGTAGATATTGAATTACTAAGAAATCAACATGCTATAACCAAGAGTGGTACAGTTTGAGACAGGGATCTTAAATTTGCATATCAAAAACCTTCATAACAGCCTCCCTCCTTTGCCTCTTCTTCTTATCAAATCTGAAATGTGCCTTGATCTATTTTCATTGTTTGGCTAATATTGAACTGTTTTTTAGGTAAATTACATGAACAAGTTCAAGCATTTCAAGACAAATATAGATGGCATTCAGCTTCACTTTGTACACATGAAACCCTCAAATGTGAAACCAGAAACTAAAGTTCTTCCCATCATTCTGGTACATGGATGGCCAGGCTCTTTCTTTGAATTTCACAAAGCCATACCATTATTGCTAGAAGAAAAAGATGGCATTGCATTTGAAATAGTAGTCTCTTCATTACCTGGGTATGGCTACTCAAGTGCACCTCGCAAAGCTGGTATGAGTCCAGAGTACATTTCAATTGTCATGAAGAAGCTCATGCTGAGGCTTGGTCACAAGTCATTCTATGCGCAAGGAGGTGACTGGGGATCTGAAGTCGCTCGAATGATGGCCAGATTGTTCCCAGGGTGAGCTGTCTTTGCAAAAAACAATCTGTACTTATTTGGCATTTTGAAGTAAATACTTACCTGGCTGTTTCTTTCAAATTAATAATTTCTCTTACTGTTTTTCTTTTCAGAAATGTCAAAGGCCTTCATGTCAATATGTGGGTTCATTTCACCAATCCCCGCTATCCAGTTCTAACACATGTGCTTGGAGCTATAGCCCCATCTTTAGTTCTGCCAAACAAAAATGAGAGAGACAAAATATTTCCAGTTTGGGGACTTTTACCAAAACTGTTAGAAAGTACTGGGTACTTTCACTTACAAGGTAGAGTTTTCAAACTAGTAGTTTGTTATACACGCTGATTCTCGATATTCGTTTTCTCGTTTCGTTCATTTTTTACTCTGATCCTGAAACTCTGAAACTCTGTGCTATCCTGAATCTCCCACTATAAGAAACATTTTACAGTTTTGAGGACTTAACATACTTGTTATCTCTTTTAGTCTATCAGCATCATATTTTGTCACCGTATTTATTGTTTCTTCTACCTCCTCACATTCAGCAACAAAGCCAGATACCATTGGCTTTGCATTGAACGATTCCCCGGCTGGTTTAGCGTCCTATGTACTTGAGAAGTTTGTTATGGGCTTCAGTGGGACAACATGTCATGACAAGGATGTTCTTGCATGCACGGGACAAAAAGTCACCTTAGATGAGCTTCTAACAAACGTGATGATATACTGGGATACAAACTCTATGCCATCAGCTGTTCGCTTGTACAAGGAGGCTATCCAAAGCAAAAACGCTGACTTAAAATTGTAAGTCTTACTAGCTTACAAACCGACTTACATTGTCTTATATTGTCTTATTTCCAAACTTTTGTTTGAACCAATACTTTATCTGCCTCAGGAATCTCCTAGAATTTGTTTTCCACTTGTTACAATAGCACTACATGGTCCCGCGAATATGAATAATGATTGAATTTTTAGATTGCTTTTGATGAAATAATGTTTTGTTAATCAAATTATCTGCTTCCTGATCTATATTAAGTTTTTCAATTTACGTATCTAAGGATTTTAGACTGAGCTTCTAGAAGCAAGGTAAATTAATTCATTATAGTGAAACCTTCTGCCGCAGAAACAGCTAGATAATGTACATTGGGCCTTTATAGAAAGTTAGTTGCGCCATGCAAATGTTTTTTGGGGAATTATTTCTAGTTCTAAAATAAAAACCCTGCAAAATCTACAGGACCGAGCCCGAAATATTATTGAAAGAGGTAAAATTAAGGATAACTGGTCACATAATTGGTTTGATGTTGAACACTAATTGAAGTCGATTAAATAGCCATGACCTACAGGATAATGAACAAGACGTGCCAAGGGAGCCTTTGTGATAAATTTCCCCTGGTATCCTTCCACTCAAACTACAGAACAAGAAACTCCAAGGCCATCCAGAATTCCAAGATATGACCTTGAATTTGTCAAAAAAGGCTTCCACTATATTTAGCTCTTACTGCATGGAACAGCATCCCTATTTCAATCAGGGAACTACCAACCTTCCCGCAGTTCAAAAGAAATTACAATCATATTTCAAGAGCTGAAATTAAATCAAACGCGACTCCCTGGAACAGCAGCAAATAAGCCCTAACAATTTATAGTATTTAGATTGTAAATTTAATTCAATTATTTTTTTGATATGCTGAATGGATTTTTTATGTGTAGATAATTTAATGTGAAATATGAATAGGAAATACCTAGAGATAACAGTTCTTAGAAAAGTTTTTTCCGTTTCAGCTACCCGATCACTGTTCCAACTGGTTTTGCAGACTTCCCACGTGAAGCTTTCCCGCCTCCAAAATCATGGGTTGAGGCATCCTGCACCAACCTTGTTAGCTATTCAGTTATGGAAAATGGAGGTCATTTTGCTGCTTTTGAAGAGCCTGTTGCATTTTCAGAGGATGTCAGAAAATTTGTCCTCAAAGTAGAATCACTGACAAGCTGATCACCCAGTTACTGCTTTGAAGCTGCAAACTGTTATTATATCGAAACATGATAATGAAGCCACATTTACTTCAAGAAGTCAAATATCTTCAAAAGAACGACTATTTTATTTCATTTTATGCGCTTTTTAGAACATAAGAAACTTTAAAAGGAGTGCTATTCGCCGAATTGGTTTGATTTCATTCGAGCTGTAAAAATCGCTATTAAGAAATGTTCTTCAACAGTGGCCCTCTGTGAAAATGTAAGCGGTGAACTGGATGTTGATTAAACCTTGTTGTTTGTTTATGATTTCTACATGTTATTTGAGCCACACTAAAACGTCGGTAACATTGTCTTCGTTTTGCTACCCCAATATTTCAATGGTTTTTGTGGAAAAAACAGAATAATTCGTTTATTTTTGTTTTCGTTTCATAAGAAATCGGGTTAAAAAAGAACGTTGGCAGCACTACTTCATTTTGCTGTCTTCATTTCAATTTTATTGATTGTGAGATAAGCAGGCTCAGAAAGCATGACAATATAAGGTCGAGGTAATTTTTTGCTTTTACGTTTTTGATGTCACGAGCCGTCATGAATTGCGAATTTTATACAAGTAGAATCAAACTATGTTTAGACTAGTATAAAGTGTTCACCTTGCCCAAATGTTTATTCTCCGATTCTTTGTCATACTACTCAATGCTGGACGAACTTCCCTGTGTCAAATGGACGAATTTCCCTGTGTCATTGCGGTAACTAGATGTCTGTGATAAGGGCGGGCATTGCATGATGAGGTAGACAATGTGGCAAGGTCGATGTCATCATGCTAGTCTACTGATCATCCCCCCAGTGGTTACGGGAATTCGTCTTACTTCGTACGTATGCCTTTTTTTTAACTTTGTAACTACGTTCTTTTACAGAGACAGCCAAAACCGTATTCTTCGCTTTCAAATTAGACTGTTTTTGTATCAATATGTTTCTTATTACTAGACATGCAGATAACCTAGAAAGCGAAGAAGTCAATAGAAAAAGTCGGATTAACATGAATTGTGAAGTTAGTTATGAATAGATTGAAGGTGAATTGTTGATTGGAAAGTTTGTATCTATATATTATTATATCCTATGATCAAAGGCACCTTTCCATGCCCAAATTTATATTGGTTCCCCTTACTCTCCGCTTGTAACCTTGGTGTTACCAAAATGCAATTTTTCTAAGAGGATGTCTTGGAGCTATGGTAGTCTAGAAACTGATCGTAAAGCCGTTGCTTTTACATAGCACTTTTTCAGCTTGATTAGCAATTCATGAATCTGTTGGTCACCCGAATGAATAGAAATTTTTAAACAACAATAACAATGAACTATTTAGATGCCACTGCTAATGTATTTAGCTGTGCACATGTATTTGAGAAGCACAAACAAAACCAGGAATCTAAGAAAATAACTTATTGATACCAAAGATCAACGATATCAAGGTCTCCATCCTTCACATTTTCATCAACTTTACCTTCTAGTTAGTAAGCTAGTTAGTACGAATTAATTATTACTTTTAACAAAGGAATTGATCTTGCCAACTTTACTTTTTATATAGAGGGTCTGAAGCTAGTGAGAAGCAGAAAAAAGCAGAAGTATAATAATAAGAACGAAACACCTGGTTACTGACACACGAATAGAGCTCAGGGTACCTCAAGGGCAAGAGCTACGATCACTTTGTTTCTGGGGAAGAGGGGGGGGGGAGTGGGTGGCTAAGCGACCTTTTGCTCTTAGTATGAATTATTCTTTCTATTTTAGATATATCTCAGATGACGTTATGAAAATATTATACACATACTCAATTTTACAGACCTAACTCGATGCTTTGTTGTAAATAGAGTTATATTCTAAAGGGTTTCGCGGGAATGCAGTGGGCAGTGATGTCCTTGATTTAATGAAGGCCCTTCAGGCAAGCCTCCCGTTGAAATGATTTTTCAAAGTCTTAAAACTGTACTGTACTGACCTCTAAAATCTACAGTTTTTCAATGGTGATTTTTTGCACTGAAAGTTCTCGTTGGCGCTTGAATTAATTCAAACGAGGTGCGTTTTATGCGAAAATGATAAGTGCGTATCAATTTTGAGATTAAGCTGATATACCAAGAGACTGATAGTTTTCTTAGCTATGCTCATTTCGTAATAATGATAGTGACATCTTATTTCAATCCATAACTATTACTTATTACAATATTCACAAATTTATGATAAGGCTAGCACTGCACTAATCTTGTGAATCCATTAAAAACGAAGCCATTTCTTCATGAACTGAATTATCAGCCTGTGTACAGTTACGGTACGAATTAATTTATCTGCGTAAATAAAGTATCCTATAGTCGCTTTTCTATTTGACTTTTGTTCCCATCGAGTACATATTAATTTATGTTTGTTTGAATTTAATCATCGCAATTTTTCCAGCTGCATGGTAAGATGAACTCGTTTCAGGTATAAATGTTTGTCGATCATTGCACGCTTCACACCTCAAGACTTGTCAACGAAGGTAAGTGATTGGTAAGCTGGATACCAATCTTCTATAAATCGTTCTTATGTTCCACGACTTCATTCTTGATCTTTCAAGTTCCGTTTAGCGAACGTTTTTATGCTTTCAAATGTCCTTTCTCAACAAAATTCAAATCTCATAATTTGGCTGCTTGCTTATTCGAATTTCTAATAACTCTAACAGAAAATAAAAAAATGTCTTTGCTTTGTAAGTTTTAATATTTCATGTTGATTGTGCTTTGATTGTAAGGTGATTGTAAGTTGATTTTACGTTAATTTCACTTGCTGGCTTGTTCACGTGTTTTTTAATTAATTCATTAATTCATTAATTAATTAGATGAAAACCTTGAATACATCAAAGGTAAGTTGGTTGTTAGCGAATAAAGATCATTTCAAATGATATAAGTTTACTTCTTCAAAGGCCTCGCTTCTTCTCCGAATTTCGTTACATTAAACTATTGTATTTCCATTGCCTTAAAGTCAAGAAGCTCGAAGTGCTTTCTAGATTTAGAAGCAGTTCGTGTTTGAGGTAAATGTGTTTTGAAAATGATTCAATAGCAAGTAAGGGTCCTTTTCTTCAAGCTTGGGTGAAAGCTCGATGCTTCCAAGTGACATCATTATTGTTTTTCTGTTCAGTATCTCCATTCTTGGTTCAAAGATGAAGTCGTTTATCATCCTCGTGTCTCTGGCAGTTGCCTTTGTGAGTACTTGATGTTAAATATTTCAAACATTGAATGCTTGCTATCTTTATCGTTTGAAATTCTATCGGAGCTATTTCTGTCTTTGAAATTTAATTGCTACGTTGGTCAAGTTTAGTTAATTATACCACTTGATTAACTGAATTATACGAAAGGTTTTAAGTTTACATCAGATGGAAAATACTTTTTATGTCACACTGCTATGCTGTTTCTTATAATGGTTTTGTATCATTTAAAAATGCTTGTGGATATGAAAAACAAACAAATCTTTGTTCAATCTAAAATGTAATTTTAGGTTTTGCTTATCATTGCAAACTCAAACTAACTATAAAAGTGTGGCAAAATAACTCGACAAAGGATGAATCCAACCCAAACTAAGCGAGTAGCAACTGAGTACAGATTAGGAAAACCTCCAAGCACGTGTAGTGAGTCCAACATCCATAAGCATCGTTGAAACTGCGTCATGATTATTGCACTGCTTGGAAAAAAGCAACCTAAAAAAATTGTTGTAACTATCTATAAAAGTCAAGTTAAGAGACTTCCTGTGATAGGGATCTGAGCATCATTGGACTTCCGGCGAAAGCTCTTATTCGGGAAATTTAGTTTTCAGACAAACTTTTTTCCACACAATACCCTTTCAGCTTGATAAAAATTCTGAGTAGCAACGTACAATCAACATGCTCTATACACCGAAAGCACATACAGCTCTGCCTATACAGCATGGAGCACTTTGTGGCACAACAGGAAACAAAAATTTTCATTAAAGTTTGTTTGAGGTAATAATCTGAGGGTGCAAATTATGGGAGATGTAGGATTTTCATACCTCCCCCAAAAATAACTAAAAACATCGGCTCGAAATGAAATTGTAATGGGAGTTGACCGGTGTTAGTTTTAGCTAACCGTAGACTTTTCTATCCATGCTAGCATTGGTTCACACACACGAGTCCATTCTTATTGAGAGTTTGTCCATGTTGATATCAAGACCCCTAAAAAACATTCGGGACTCGCAATTAGCGTTGAGTATATTAATTTTCTCACTTAACAAAAGATTCGGAATATAACGTCTTATTTGGAATTTATTCGTTTTAGGCGTCAGATTTTGAAATGAAGATTGATGAGGGAGGCAAGGAATTCTCGGAGAAAATCAAAATCGACATAGACCAAAAGACCGAGGAAGTTGATGTTCCAGCTCATGGTGATAGGGCTGCAGTTGATGTCTTAAGTGACTTCAATGTTGTAAGTATGATTATTGCAATATGAAAAATGCATTTTGAGGATTCAAACCTAGAGTTAAAGAAGCTATAGAGCGGATGGTGAAGCCATGGACGGACGGAGTAAATGGAGCCATGGAGTAAATGTTTTTGACATTCTGATCCTTTAATTTAGAACTGCAACGAAAAAACAGCTAGTAGGATTTGATATGGTGACCGAATGCATGCGACATGTGTGTGACAAGAAACAAACAATAATAGACTCCGTTACATCTCGGGGAAATGGTCTTTTAGAAGGTTTTCTGGAACAAATATGTTCCTTGCAATAACAAAAAGGGGTTTCATATAAAAGGACGTTGCAACTTTTCTTTTTGCGGGTCTTGCCACGGCTCTCGATTATGAAGCAATGTAATAGGTCTGCGTTTAGGTTTGTGCAATAGTCATTGAAAATGAATATAATGTGGCTATTCCCAAGTTTTTGTTTCCTGAATACAATTACTATACTTATTTTTTCTTAATGTCATTTCAATTCGTTTAAAGTCTGCAAGCAGTGTGCCTCGATGCCTTACTATATCGTGAAATTCAACGATCACTTCAGTGTATTAAATAGCCTTAGCCTAACGCTGCTGACTTTCTTTTTCCAAGGGTCTTTCTGCTTCCAAAAGAGTCGACCTTAAAACATGTTTCATCGAAGCAATCTCCAAGGATTTGGAATCACCTGTCAAGATGGACATCAGCATGAGGCTGGTAAGCTCACAGCTAACGCCGATTGGCTGTCTCTTTTTCTTTCAGTGATAAACCACGCGCATTAACAATTGAGTTGGTGCGCCTGCTCTATGACTGCATGACTGCTGGAAAAGGGGAAGCTCGGTCGACTTTTGATTTCGATTTTCACTTGTTTGCCTCCCTATCAGGGGCATAAAACTAGCTGTTAGTAATCAAATCTAGTAGAATGATGCACTGAATTGAGAACAGATTGAGCGATAAACTGAATTGGGCGAAATGCTGAGAACGATGGAAAGCAAATTTTTTGGAAAGGTTTGCCATTGTCGAAGGTATTTTCTAAAGGTGAAATGTTATCCTACATTTCAGTATTTGTCATGATTACAAGTCTAATAATTGGATTTCATTCTAACCAACGGACAATCTACGCTATAAACCCTATGAGTATTTTGGGTCTGATTTAAGCTTGGTTAATGCTCAATATTAATTGATCTGCACTACTTAAACAGTCTTCATTGAGCCGGCATTTTAATTTTAGGCCAAAGCAGAATTCCCAAAATCAAGATACGCAGTCGTGAACCAAAGATCTATCAAGATTGGAGAATTGAATGAAGCTGAAGTTGGCGAGAAAATCGCAGCTCACTGTGCAGGCTACAAGATGATTCAGGTTGTCGGCTTTGTAACGAGCAATCTCGATCATGCTGTCCTCGAATACATTAAAGGTAATAACAACATCTTGACGGTAATAATAACAACAGAACAAGGAAAGCATTTGATTTAAGGAACACTTCTTGTGAGGCAGACTATGTTTCAAGAGCTATAAAATGTGCAGTGCTTTATTGTTCGTACGTGGAGATTCCACCAAATAGGAATATTTTTGCAGAAGACTGCGAGACACTCAAAGTACGAAAACTGATTAAGCATCAATAAGCCTATGTTTAAACATCAATTGTGATCGTTTTTGAGCATCAATGCACCAATGTACTAATAATTGAGTATCAATAACTCCTTTCTTGGAACTTTCCGAAATAATCCGAGAACATCAAATTATACTGTTATGCCATGGGCTGTGAGAATTTCTTCGGCCTAAATTTCTGTTGGTATTACTCATGGGTCATTGTACATGAAATCATCTTATCTGGCTGCAAAAAAGTGTTTTTATAGGAAAAAGAAATTGTGTATGTTTCGCAATATCGAGATATGTATTTTGTTTCAAACATTGTTTCAGTTCCTTGTTTAACGTATTTTTAAGCAATGTTTTAGTTACGTGTTGCAAACTTTGCTTCAGTCAAAGCAAGCTAATTAGTTGCATTAACATGATTGACAATCTTCTCTCTATATTATAACAGCCAAACAGAGATCTGGAAAGTCAAAGCGTGACGTCGTTACAACATTCACCTCATGCCGAAACGACAGCACCAACGTCCTTGAAACTTGCCCTCCGAGCCGACTTGCCACTTCATGCAAATTTATAAGGAATGATGGAAACACATGTACCTACAGAATCACTTGCAATGCCACCCCCACAGGCTTCGATTGTATCGGTCAACATCGTTTCAGCTCAATGGTTTGCTGCGATTTCCTTTGCCGTTAAACCTACGATAATGACATCAAATAGATGCAATGTGCTTTATGATTATATTTCCTTTATCTATTACTGATGTATTTGTTACCTGTCAATATCTGATATAAATACTATAATTGAACTTGTGTCTTCTGTTATTCTCGTGTCTAAATTCACTTTAGAATCCTTTTGTTGACGCAATGATACAATCCCGGCGGATGGTTTCAAATATTGAATATTGTAATGACTTCAAAATAATTTTCATCTTGATCTTCCAAAAAAGACATATTTTTGTCTCTGTGATAGAACATTTAACTGGCAGGACGGCGTACTTTTATTCTGGGTATTTTTTAGGATGTGTTTCGCTACGTAAGAAGAGTAAATGTTGCAAATGAATTGTACTGTCCCAAACTTTTACCAATTACCCAATATATTGTCTATTATTTACTTTGGACCACATACATCAATCCCCAAAATCTTCAGACGGTTTAATTCTGGACGTTTAAATTTCGGACATTAAAAATTCCGGACCAAAACATCTCGCTTTCGGACAGTTTCGGACAAAAATTTCGCACAGGATGTAAAAGACGGCAAGGAATTTCGGATAATATCCTCAAAATTTAATAAAACAACACAGTAATGTGATCCCCAACGAAACACTAATGATCGAGTATATGAATACAGTCAAGTATTAGATCGAGGAGCTGGTCCTCCGGTTCAATAGTGTCATTAATTCCAAACACATCGAAACCTCTTTTCATCAAAAATTGTTTGTTTCTCAAATAGGCGTACACACCAGTCAACCACCTTGCATATGCTGACTCGGTAGATATGATTATGTACCGAGTTTCTTGCCTTCAGCAGGAACAGTTCTTAGTTTTATCTGAACAGCTAAGAGTTTTCAAAAGTTATTGGTTGCAGAGGCCGGCATGTGCTTAGTTTGAGATGTATTTGATGATGCATCTTCAGGAAATGTGAATAATTTTATAAGTTTAAAAAAGATGGATGTCATTACTTTGTAATTATATTTCTTCATAGAAGAAGTTTTCCATCCAATTGGTATAATATTCCTTTTACGTGAAGTATAAAGACTTTTCGGACAAGTCATGTGCCTAAATATCAAATTTTCGAATGCCTGCTGGCAGTTATTTTCTGTTTACCAACGTATATCGCAAAGGTTTCCACGAATTCTGTTCCAAGTTTCCATGAATAACTTTGAATTCGATATTCTTTGAAAAATGGAAGATTTTGTAACGAAAAAATTTCAATTTTTGCTATTTTGCTGTGAACTGTTGTGCATTTACAGCACAATGAGGCACTATACGCACTTCTTGTTATTTTGAGAAGAAGTTGTTGCACTGCTGCCGGAAAATCGAAAGTCTCAGAAAACTGAAAACCAGAGAGCTATTGTTTCTTTAATTTCATGATTTGATCCAAATGACTACAAATAGTACTGAAATAATGAATTTGAAGATTTTCTGATCTTGATAAAAAAAATTTAAACGGTTTGCTTTTTCAGCAGATAGCGAGGCTATCATTGCATTATCAGATTTTTCCAGAACAGGGTTTGCACAAATGATATGTAGGTCGAACAAATCGAAAAAATGCAAGTATCTCCAACCAGGATTGAAGCAGAATCTTGAATATTTTAGATGAATTCTTTTAATTGTTTTTCATGAAAAACAAAAGCTGTAATGCACGAGAATGCTTGCTTATATGTTCAATTAGCTCCGTTTCAAATTATGGGACACCATGCACAGCAGAGCATTGAGAAAAGTGGGCGTATTGGGGCTAAAACCGAATAGAAAGAGGATTAGTGATGTTGCATTTCTCAATTCTTTACGTTCTTTGCAAACAGTATAGGGGCTATAGCCTGCTCCGTGATGCTTGTGGGGGCACTCAGGAGTTGTGTTTTCAGGGAACGCCTCAAAATATATTATGTCTCAAAAATTGGAAGGCTTTTACAAGTAATAAGAAAAATGGGGTCGGTTTCTGAAGGGGAAAAATTCCTGTCATTCATTTGTCTGGCAAAAATTAAGTTGGTTTATCGCTCTCTTCCGTAGGTCTCCACAAATGAATCAAGAAATGTTGATTAATCAGCCTATTTGCGATCAGACTGATTATATTTGACATAGAGGCATTGAACTACCCGATGACAATAAAGTACGCGTTATTCTTAATTTAGTATTTATAGCTTTTTTATGAAATGTACTCTGCCTGAGCAAATAATATAATAATGATGCTTTTATCATTCATCGCTGACCTAAATATACATTAACCACTGTTAATTACAAATGACTTTCAAGATTTTTGCAGCTGGAAGCTCAGAGTAAATGAAATCACATTTAAAAAACTCTCAACAGCAACTTATCTACGAGATCTGCAATATAACGCTGTTGGTAAGTATGGTCTATTTTGATTTTGTTGTTTTGTGTTCTGTTTATCTTCTAGCATGACGTGTGGATTTAACACTTAAACAATGTATACATCTATTTCTAACTTACACAACTTTTTTTATTTTCAGATTTATTTTCAGGAATTTTTACTCTCTGCACATTTTCAAAATTTTGGAAAATTTGGGTGCTGCCTTTTCGATGTTTATGACCACACCTATCGAACTAACTGTATGTAAAATTATCAAATTACACCAGCTCTCACCCACGCGTCAAGAGATTTCGACTAGGAAAAGTGATCTAGGTTTAAAAAGGTTTTTGAGAACAATGATCTCAAAGGAGAAAATGAAGAACATAGCAAACTAGATAGCATCTAGATACTGAATTCGATAAAATTTTAAAGGTTAAGATCAAATTTCATATAGTTTCATAATTTCATATGGTTAACGCTGCACATTAGAATAAACCCTTTTTCATTAGTACATTTTCAATTTTGTTAAGTTTTAGCACGGCTCTGTAAAAATCAGTCCTACTAAGCAATAGGGCTACCGTGCATAGATTATTTTCGAAGAAAAAACGAATCACGACTAACATTTTACTATATCGTAGTGCTTTTAAAACTATTAGAAAGGTTTTTCTTTTCTGTTTACATTTGGCCTTCTCGTAGCTTTGTGTTAAGCAATATGTTTGACAAAAATTTTATTGCAGTTCCAGACCATACACATTATTTTTCCAATTCGGATTGGTGCCTTTTCGTCGGAAGAACCAAGATGAAGCTTTTCGTATTCTTTGCTTCTTTATCAATGGCACTGGTAAGTAACCTTTACTGTTTTCGGGCATAGCAGTGAAACCACTTACCTTGGCGTTGTGAGTGCTTAGCGTTTACGGAGGGGGGGGGGGATTTTTCCCGAATATTATTGCTTCATTTAGATAGCGTTGCCCGAATGGAGCCTTAAATGCGATTAATTTTCCAGATTTCGTGTGCTGCAGCCCCCAGCCCTCCAGCCCTCCAGCCCTCCAGCCCCCAGCCCCCCCCCCGCCCCCAGCCATCCAGCCCTCAAGCCCCTATGTTTTCTACCCCTATGAACACTTATTTACAAGCTTGATTGTCATAAACGTTATTTTTAGAATTCAGTCTTGGTAATTGATCATACATTCGTCGTTTAGTCATTTCATTGTTCAAATCATTTGCAGCATCGTATTTTAAATGCCCGTTGAAAGGTCTATAAGCTACTGCTTATTCCTTGACAGCATTCAACTTTCCAAAAACTTTATTTTGAAGGTGCTTAAATGTTTTTAGCTAATAATAATATTGATACCAAAGACAAATTTCGCACCACAGGCCACAGAGTTTGACATGGGCATTGACGAGGAAGGTAAAAAATTCACAGAGAAGGTTAAAATCAATCTCAAGGAAAAAACTGAAGAAATCGTTGTTCCAGCACATCTGGACAGAGCAGCTGTTGATGTGTTGAATGATTTCAATGTTGTACGTATCAAGTAACGGCTATATAGCCAAACTTTTCTCGCTCTAAATAAAATTGCTTATCTAATTCAAATAGGGGGCGTGTAAAGGTAGAGCTAATAAAGCAGTGGCTGAATTTACACGTCATATAGCTTAACGTAGCCAATATGCAACTTGTAACCCTAGTGTAATTTGCCTTCTTGAATAAAATTTAGCATAGTATGGGGAAAAAACAGCCTTATGGCATATGCTTTATTTATTGCCGGTTGAAGTTTTCTTTTTGATGTCACGGTTTCCATTGATTTCCACAGAATCGTTTACCAAGGGTATTTACCTAGAAATATATAACTGATCAACACTAAATTCACGATAATATTCTTCTTGATATTGTTTATGCTGTTTAATAGTTCCATCAACTTTCCCCTACCTATAGATTAAGTCAACAAGTCCATACCTGTAACAACCCCTTTCACTGAGAATAAGTAAAAACAAGCTTTTAAACAAAGAGTTTTAAATGCTAGAAATTTACTCTAGGCTTAAGGAAAATTCTTTATGATTTCAGACCTAGAACTTAGTTGAGTACAACTTGAAATTTGAAAAAATTCTGTCTGCCTACATGTAATTAAAATTCTAGTAGCTCTAAATTGGAAGCACAGAAACAGTTATCATTGCGCAACATACCACTTCCAATTTTCTAAATGTATATTATTTCATTTCTCTTAATAAGCAAATATTGGTTTTTAGGGTCTCTCTGCCCGCAAAATGGTGAATTTGAAAGCATGTTTCATAGAGAGAATCAGCAAGGAAGATGAATCTCCGGCCAAAATGGACATCAGTATGAGACTGGTAGGTTTGCCGCAAGAATAACTTTAACAAATAAACATTTATAATACGTTAAAAAACTAGGTTTATCGAGTATCAGTCTGGAAAAAATAAGTCACAAACTTTATTTGGCGAGCACTTCTCTTTCTTCTTGGATTTATTATCTAGCTTAGTAGATCTTCACTTTCTGTATACTCAACATTTCTTGTTTCGATTCTTTATTTCTCTACCTATCATTTTACATTTCATTGAAATAGATATTTATTTTGCCTAAAATTCCATCTTCTGATAAAAACTGTAAATATTACTTGACATTTACATGTTGATCTCCTTTAATTTCTTTCCGTTTTAACATAGCTTCTTAGCTACCTTACGAATTTTAACAAATAGATTGTAATCAGCAATTTTCCTGAAAATATTCAATGTTTCTCGATATGTTACTATGACTTTCATGAAATTACTTGCTCTTTAATAAAAATTGTAGTCAAAGTCAAAGTTTCCAAACAACCGTTTCACGGTAACTCAGAAAAAGTCAGTGATAGTAAATGAGATGTCAGAAGAAGAGGTTGGGAAGAAGATTGCAGCCCATTGCGCAGGGTACAAAATCGTCAAAACAGTCAGTTTTGAAAAAGGAAGCATAAATGACGCAGTTCAAGAAATGATCAAAGGTATGTATAAACGGCCGACATTCAATTTAAATATCAATCGAAGACAATTCGTTATGAATTTTTTGAAATCATTTTGAAATCATAATCAATCCTATCTTGGTTTTTTAGAGATTAAATTGTCTTGAAAGTATTGGTGTTCAAGTCATACATGAAAGAAAGTTCAGCGATTGTGGCAAATTCATAATAGATAACTTTGTTCAATTGAAGCTTTCGTGCGTTATTTAGTTTGATATGAATTTTGTTATTAATATAGTTTCTTGAGAAATTGAAGTTTGAAATGAACGAAATTAGATTTTGTTGAAAATTGGAACACTGTTGGTTAATTGGATCTTATTTAAACTTTATGAAAAAAAATCTCGAAATATTTTCATTCATCGATGCTTTTTTAATTGCAGCTCAAAGAGCGTCTGGAAAATCGAAACGTGACGTGGTTACCACTTTCCAGTCTTGTAATTTGCAAAGCACCAATGTTATTGAAAGTTGCACTGGAGGCAGGCTTGTTACTTCATGCAAATACAGAAATGACGGAAGAACATGCACCTACCTTATCACATGCTCTCCGACTGCTTCTGGCTTCAACTGCCAGGGTGCACATCGCCTCAGCACCCTGGTCTGCTGCGACTTTGCTTGTGGGTGAATCAAAGTCAAAGGACCCCGAACAAATATTTATTTCAAATAGCTATAATCGGTTAACACTTATGCTTTGATCCATGTTATAATGAAACCCTTGTCTTATTTTGTTGTTTTCTGGACAAAAGGGGGAAGAGGGTTGGGTTTTTATAGAACGGGACGTCGGAAAATTCACTAAACGTTACGCGGAGAACAGTACAGCCACGGCTGCCTTGCTGCTCCCTAGTAGGAGACCCCAGCCTCCCATACACAAACAAAGAACCAAACACCATTAAATGAGAGACAGACAGACGGCGGAAACATAGCTAGTATTGTATTTGTATGTTGCCAACCTAAAACAAAGTGAAAGTGAACGAGAGACTTTGTAAGGCAATGTAATCTTATGCACTAAGATTCTCACAACAATTACGACAGATAGGAGAGTGCCTTTAAAGGCATCATTAAACATTTATACAGAATTAAATAAGAATCATGCCTTTCTGTAAAGTTGTACTAAATTAGGAAAAATTGTGACAGGAAGTCCTGTTTACAGGTATGCGACATTTATGTTAAAAAATTTGGTTTAGTAATTCTGACCAAAAAACATGCCTTCAAATTCAGGGCCTAGTGACTCTATCTAACAGAAGTGATGTTTCTAAAACATTTGTATTGGAGTTAAAGATGTATCGATGCTGGCAATATATCTCATAATAATATAACGCATAATAATGTATGAAATAGGAACTATTTGAAACGAACTTGGGCCTACTTCTAAGACAACACTGGTTGAAGATAGATTGCACCCGAAGTCTATCAAGCCTTTTTTTATCATATTTATTTAAACATAAAGCTAGCAGGCTGATATAAAGCTATTTTATTTAATTTCGTTGTTTTTGTCTCATCTCTTCCAAACATCTGCTGCAAGCAAGAGAGTTCTGTAATGTGATGTTATAGAAACCAAATATTTGATCATATAGCCTCAAAGAACAACATGAAATATGGAAAATCAGTTAGAAAATCATTCGGCCAATTTTTAGCTGGTAAAATATAAAAATATAATAGCACAATATCAAATCTGTCTATTGTTCCTTATAGCGTGAAACTCGCACTTGTTTTTCTTTCAAAAAACTCAAGACATTTAATTTTTGATGAAGCATTGCATTTATCCTAAATTATTCTTAATTTTTAGCAATTTTCAGCCTCAATATTCTTATATACTATATTCATGTTAAAAATGATGCATGTCAGCAGCAAAGACGTCATGGAAAGAGCTGGAATGAAATTAAGTTTGCTTTAATCAATAAGAAAGAGGCAAATAGAGTTTTTCGGACACATTATGAGGAAAGAAGGGTTGGAATATTTAGCGGTCACCGGGAAAATCAAAGGAAAGGGAAGCAAAGGAAGACCACGCGTCGGCTTTGTCAAGAGTTTAAGTTCATGGGTTGGGATCTCCAGCGAAACTATTTTTAGATCATCTAGGGGTAGAGAGTTTTGGAGATCAATGACAGTCAACCATTGATCAGCGCAGTGCAGACGTCCTGCATTGTACCTCCTTTCAAGAAAGCCTCGTTTTCACATTCGATAAACATTCAAAATGTCTTCCAGGGCACGAAAGAAGTTGGCAAAACAAAATGATATACTAAGCCAATTTGCAGTTAGTGACGACGATAACGAACAATTCATAGATGAAATCAAATTCGCGAAGAAAAATGGAACAACTCGTAACAACTTTGACCTGGTAACGTGTCAGTCCTTCTGTTTTGAATGAAGTAGTGACGTTTGTTATTTGACCACACTCGACATGCGAATAAGTTCGTTTGGGAAATTATATAGTGCTTAGATAAGTTTGCTGATTCTTTCTATAGATCCTAGCATCACAAAGTTGAAATATTTAGTCTTGGAGTTTTAATAGGAAGGGGTTCAGTGTTTATTTTTGAAGGGTTTTGTTTTTTTCACTGCTTCTTTTTTATTTAGGATTTTGCAAAATCACAATTTGATATACCTGTTTCTTAAACCTGTGCTGGCTGCTGATGCTAGAAGCTGAGCCCAGTTTGGTAATTTTAAAATATGGTTGAAACCTAGACCAAGAAATGTGATTGGGGAACCCACGCAGGAACCATCAAGCTCTTAATGTACACCAGACTGGAAACTTTGTTTTTTGCGCGGACAAGTTTACTTTTAAAATTTGAGACTGCACGCCAGAAATCATACACTCTTAGTTATTTTTAGAGTTAATAATGTTAAATGTTATTGTCTTACAATATGCAAAAGCACACAGATGTGTGTGCGAACAATATATTGCATAAATTTCCAGTCTAATATATACATAACCAAATATGTGGTTTTTGATACCCAGACGAACCAAACTTGAAACTTGAAACTTGAAACAAAGTTAAACTTTAAATTTTGAATTTTATGTTTAATTCAGTTATCAGTAGCTGTATGTTTTTGTATCACAATTATATAAAATTTCAATTCTTCAGTAAAACTCTCAATAATTTTGACTTTTCTGATGCCAATATTCCAATGCTGATTTTTTATTGGGAAGAATCAGTTGTGGGTCTGCACACACAAAATGCAGAGAAATAATCTGTGATCAGCAATTAATATGCAAGTGATAAATGAAAATTTGTTGAGGGACAAATCAGCATTTGTCTGAAGGTCTATTATAGAAATATTGGCTTTTATATGCCCCTGCATAGTTAAAACTAATGACATTATTTTGTATGATTGCATAATATCTGCTGTGGTAGGAGCACTTATGGTACTTATGGGAATAAGCCAGTCCATTTGAGAAAGATTTAGGCCTTATTATGACATTTGTGAATTACACATGACTGGATGTTGTTAAAAGAAATATAGCTTTATATCTTACTGAACATTTTTATGGTTTTCCTTAGCTATTGGCTGAAGAAAACAACAGAGAGTCTTCATCTGATGGAGAAGTTCACACCAGGAGGGAAGATGCAGAGGTGTTTATCAAACCATCACCTTCCTTTTTCTATCCACCCTTCAGCTCAATGCCTCATATAAATCTGTGTTTCCTTAGATGCAATGCATCAGCCTTATCTTAGAAAATTTTTTGTGATGCTAGATTTTGCTGAACATTTATTTTTATTTTAGGTGACTGAATTGCAATGCAAAAATGGAAACAAGAAAACTGGAAAAAAGAAGAAGAAAAAGAAAAAGAAAAAGGAAGGGATTGGCAGTGAAGTGGATGACAATGATTTAAAATCAAATGATCTCAAAACTGGCATTGAGGTATTTATCTAATAGCCTGGTATGAGACAATATAAGAGCAGCTCAAAGAACATCTTAGTTATTGGTCTATTGACCCAATGTGAAAGATTATCTTTATTTTAATCTATTGTTGTACTTTGTGGTAATATTAGACCCTCAAAATGTACTTTGGTTAATGAAGCAAAGCCCAATGCCTTTGAGAATACAGAAAATTTTCATCATTTTTATATGGGATGTATTTTTATTCTTTTGTAGGATGAGATTGATAGAAGTGTAAGGGAGGTCAATGAGCTACTGGGTATCAAACAGACGATGGCAAGGGATAATGGTATGGTTGATTTATTGATATATATACATATATACCCAGACTTATCTTTAGTTAAGAAATATTCATTTCAAAATTTTACTACAAAGCTTCTTCTGAATTCTTAGATAACATGTCAAATGAAAGTGCAGAGTTCAGCAGCAGCAGATCAATACTTGCAGTTGAACACAGGTAAGACATTAGAATAATTCCCTGTTAGACATAGAAATTAATGGTAACTTGCATTTGGAAAGCACCCATTGAGTAGTTACTTACTAGGGTTGAATTTTCTTGGATTTGACCATGAAATGCAACACCTCTTTGTCCCTCATTGCATTCGGTAGAATTTTGTTGTTGCAAAGTCATGTTTTACATATCTGCATGTCCAAATAAGTTGGATTTGGCCTCCATCCTTTCCTGCCATTTCATGTCTTTTGTTTTGAATTCAGTATTGCAAGCTTGATATCAGTTTCATATTGCTTAAAGGGCGCCTCTCCAGCCAAAAAAAAATATTTTTTTTATTGACTGAAAAGTTAGCATCTGGTGCATGTATTATGGCAAAGTCGTTGTTTTTGCAAAATTCCAATTAGTTTAGAAGTTAAAAGGCTTTAAAGTTGCACCTTTCCGAGAAAAAAACGACAAAAGCCGAATCAGTTTGGTGACATTCGGACGTCACAGTGTGAGGCTCTCGTTTGCCATGAATTTCATATATCTTCCACCAAATCGTGAAGGAGTCATGGTCACGCGTTGATAACTGCATCTAAATCTAGAGCAGGAGCTTTTTAGGATCAAAAAATATTAAATGTTCACAATCATTCTAAGTTTGCGGGTCGGAATGTGTCCATGCTGTGTAACAACTTTGTTTTGACCACCTGTGTAGGCCCACAAAGCTACGGCTTCCTGTTCTAGCTCCAGAAATGATGAACAACTGAAGGCTTCAGAATTGATATCTGAAATGCTCAAACTAAAAGCTGGTGAAACAGAATTGAGTGTACCATCATTTGCAGTGTTCAATTTGCAAATTGCCATCGTTCGATTCGGTTTGGGGCGAGACTAACGAAATACACTGTGATGTCAAAATTGCGCCACAGTGTCACCAAACCGAAAAAATTTTGTCGGTTAATTCAATTCAATTATTGAAATGCAAGAGCTTATATCTCACAAACTGTAAAAAATATCGAAAAACAAATAACGAATTCGTGATCAGCAGGTTCAACTCCCTCAGATTAGCCAAGTTCAAAATTTGGCTGGAGAGGCCCTTTAACATAGTTGCCAATACATAATTTTTAAAAATTTGTCAACCTGGAGGGGGAGTCATTATATTCTCCATGGAGTTGGAAAAAGTTTCTCGAAATTGATGAGTATATTACTACCAAAAACATATTTAAGGTTAAGGCTATCGGTCTGGTTTCTCAAACTCATTCTTCTGATTATTCTCCCATGTATGTGGTATTTTGCTAAAATTACATGTGCTTAGGCATGATCATTTGGTATTGTCAAGCTCAGCTGCTCATTTGGTAATATCAAACTCAGTTTCTTTGCAGTTTTTATTGCAGGCGTCATTAGGATTGTTAACCATGCTTTTGCTTGCCAACAAATTTCTTCTATGGCTGCTTGTTGCAGACCTGCACAGAAGACAATTACTATACAATATTGACACTATCTTCTGTTGTAGAAATTTGAATCCTGAAAATGAAATGAGAAAGAAGTTTGGCTCGAATGTTGTTGGTGGGGAAAGGAGGTAGGGTGACTGTCATATTTCTAAAGAAACTGGTATTTGATAAGGACTTTCTTTGGTTACTATTAAGGGAAATTTAGGGAGTAGTTTGGGATGCTCATTATGAGGATTGGAGGAAGGAAGGAGAAATTCAAAATTGTCAAATGTATTATGGTTGATTTGAGGACTGAGAGCATCAATAAGTTTTTCACCCCCCTCCTCTATTAAAAATTGATATCTCTCCTATTTAGCACACATGCTTTTACTCAAAATGGATAGAGAAAAATTAACAAAGTCTCTTATATCTTATGTTCATGTGGATATACCCAAGCTACAGATTGGGCTAAAGTTCTAAATCTAAGGATTTCCTCCCAACATGGAATATATTCCTTGATACTTTCCCTCCTAAGAACACCATTTCTCACAAAAGCTCACAAGAAAGCAGAAATGAAGGAAAGGTTGGCGTATGTTAATAGTGACATGTCTACTTGCTAAAAATAGAATATAGAAGGGAGCTGAGCACATTAATTCCCATGTTTACTGTCCTTCTCATCAATTCCAGTTACACTGCATTATACCATATAGCTATTTAATAGCGATCTAGATATGACCATCTGAGAGAGGGGTGTAGTGCCACAAAGTTTGGTGTTTAACAGATGGATAGCAGACAGTGTAGAGAGACAAGTCGTTCTAGAGAAATATCACCCCAACTAGGGCCTTCTAACTTTAGTATGAACTAGGCCAATTGTACCCTTCAATACCTATTTTGAGCTCCGGATTGTTAGTACACAGTATTAATTGTTTTTGTTCTCTTCAGGAGAAACGCACATAGAAGGCAGCCAGCCAGATCAGTATGGTATGCAGTTCTTTTAAAATATAATGTATCATTGGTATGCAATAGACATGTGAACAGCTTAGGACATTGGTCGATTATTTGGCAAAATAAAACTGTAGACCATTCAGGACATGTCATTTTTAATTGATTTTCATTATCGAAAAAATGCAGCAGTTGAAGAAAAGTTAAAAGGTTTTTTAGAAGCATCTTTTTGTCTTTTTTCAGTGTGAGCATTTGAATACATCAGCTTTTTTACCTTACCTTGTTTATCAATATTTTTCCTTAACCTTGTTTATGAATATTTTAACAGGCTAGTTAATCCTAGACCAAACTGGAAGCCTGCATCAAAAACAGGTATTCAATAATTCATTCCTGTTATTGGTTGAGTATATGCTGTACCCTTGTTTCCGCAATCTTTTATAAGATAGATTAATTGATGTCCTGTTGACGTGTGACTATCAAATAATATAAGCAATATATTTAAATTTGAATGGATAAAAATTTTAAATATTGACAATTGTTTCACGTCGGTATAGCTCGAATTGAAAGAGCTGACTGCTATGTGCTGTTGAAGGTTAGAGAAGGGGTAGAAAGAGGAAGTTGGTGACCGGAGTTTGAGGGAACATGACCAATCTAAAAAAATAGCGCAAGGCATCCTTCAGCCGACAATGGTCACCGATGCTGTGAATACGAACTTGTTATGAATGCGAACAAAAATTCTTATTTTTTTAGATCTTTTGAAAATTTTTTGTAATTAGGACATTTGGCGTTCTACTTTTAGGACTAACCATGAAACTGTTAGAGAACAAAGACGGGTACGTAACGCATTTGTAGTTTCTTTATTTTACTTATTCTGATAGAAGAGACATGTGGATTGTAATAATTTAAGGTCACTTTCAAACAGCTTGAAAACAGAATCTCGATGTTACATTGTTACATTACAGAATCTGTTTTGTTTTGTTACAGATTTATTCTAAACAACCGAGTAAGCAGATATATATTTTTTCAGTTAGATCCCTTGCCAGGAAATATTTTTAACTTTGAACCCCACGTAAAGATATACTTTGACTGTTAGGTCGCGATCAAAAATTGTTGCTCAAATTAAAAGTATACAGAAATATCAAACTTGAATTCAGGATTACTGATAAATTTGATTATTTATTCATTTCACATGGCATCCCAAACGATATCTCTTGAAAATCCTCTTTTCTTCCTTGAAGGCTTTTGTCTTAGTGGTTTTTACCCATCGATATCTCCCTGCAACCCGGTCCGTAGATAATTTTTAGTTCATAATTTACATCATAAATCTTATTTTCTAATTTGCTTAATACATTTTAACGCCCGGTCACTCGTGTTTAATCATGCCGATGTTATTTGCCCATATAACACAAAAGAATCACTTCTCTCCTTTTTTCATCTCAGAATTTTTTTCAGAAATAGCATGTAAATTATCGAATTTCGTCACATCTTTCACTATTTATTCATAAAATCTGTACGTTTTGGTATCGAATATCGTGTTTAACAGAGAATCACAAATGACAAGTTCTTCTTTCCTGTTTTTTCAGCGTGTATCATTTTACTTTTGAGCATCTACCATCCTATCAAGAAATCCAGTTCAAATTTATGGAAGCTGTAGATTCTGCAAATCACCATAATTTAGTTGTGAGAATTTCCTATTTTGTTTTTTAATAATCGATCAGTTTTAATCTAAAGTTTTGTTGATAGTGAAAATTCATCCCCATTCTAGCTATCGATCCAAACTGGTCCAAGAATCGTCATTTTTCATAACATCAGAAATGGATGCAAATTTGCCTGCAAACTGAAATAAAATATGCCTTACTTACATCCGCTTAAAAGCAGTTTTTCGTATTTTCTATTTAAAGGGTCTTCAGGCCTAACATCATCGACCCAAATATCGTTAGCAATATAGGGCAGGCTGGCAGGCAGGCAGCCTTTACTATTTCGCTACTGCATACATTGCTTCTAGAATCTTCTACTGAATTTCTTTCTAGGATCTTCTGAACCACTATCCAAACCACATCGACTCACTATTGCAGTTAAGCGAAGTATGCAAAATAAGCGAGGATCACCAAATGGCTGCTGAGCTGATTGGTAATTTATTGAAACTATTATTGAAAATGTCATTGATAATGATAGAAATCCTTGTAGAAGTCAACGTTAATAGATTTTGTGATGGTATCTATACTTGTGTATTATACGTTTGAAATCAATATTGATATTTTGGACGAAACTGTATGGCGAATGGAAGTCTGGAAATCATTTGCAGTTTTGGCCTTAGGAAGCAGGAAGATCCATTTTTATTTTCTTGTTTGAATAGGTTTTCCTTTGTTGGCTTAATAATTGAAATTCGCCAAGCATAATATGCACTCTTCGTGTATAGATCACGTAATTTCTCATCTTTGTACATACAAGGTTGCAGGGCTTGCTTAAAGTTTCATTAATATTGAGTCTCGTTAATTTATCTGTCTGTTGCTGATATTTAGTCTAAGTTTGGCTCCAGTTTTCTTAATCCTTTTTTGTGCCACTCATATTGAGTTAAAAACTTTCGTTCGTTTGCCGTGTTAAGAAAATTTTGAAATATTTCAAAAAAGCCGGGAATGTGTATAATTGAATCATGTGCCTAATTTGCGAATATTTACTTGTAACGTTTGAATCACCTAGAACTCTGAACACCATTTTTGTTTAGAGAGAGCGTTGTACATCTTTGAACGGAATTTTCATACACTATTCAATGTTACCCGTTGCAACAGCAGACTTGAATATCGAAGAGCAGAAAACCGGTATAATTCTTTTCATTTTACTAAACATTACTTTTCACTTGAGATTCATTGTTTTCCCATCAAACGTCTGAAATCTCTTTAACTCCTCTCAACTGTAACTCGACGATTTCTTAACAGTTTGAAGCACTGTATACACAGATTGCTGGATCACTTAATCTGATTGATAATTAAATTGTGTTTTGGGAAGATTACTTCCCAGAGGTCCACGCATACAGCATTAGTAGATTTTTGGTGTTTAGAAGATGCCTGTAGTCGAATTATTGCTTACCTACTAATTATTTGACATATTTTCCAGCATAACTGGCAGCATTTGAAGGTTGCTTAATTTTTTGAAATAAAATGTTTATCTTCTTTAATCCAACTTCAATATTGCTTCAAATATTTTTGATAAACAAATCTAATCGAGATTTTATTTGTGATATAGGATATTATAATAGCACTTGTAATTCTCTGTTTAATTTTCAGGGCGTTTTTTCTTGCCTTGTTTCGTCACATGACTTACATCGGAGATAGAGGTATGTGCTTGTAGCGGTATGACAAAACATACACACGACATGACATGACATGACATGACATGACATGACATGACATGACATGACATGACATGACATGACATTACATGACATGACATGACATGACATGACATGACATGACATGACATGACATGACATGACATGACATGACATGACATGACATGACATGAAAAGCATATAATGTCATTAAATAGCATAAAATATCTTGAGGATGTAGTATGATGTGATGTAGTTCTAAATATTCTCTAATTTTATTGCCTTTTTTTAGCTTGTTACCGTACATCTTTGGAATTTTGCAAGTTCATTCTGGGGTAAGTAAAAGAGCTGTTATTAGAAGGTTTTGATTTTGGTACCACTGAATGCTACTTACTTTTGTAATTCCATGTAGATACAGTGAATTTTTACAGTAAGCCTTTTAATAGTAAGCTTTTGATCACATTGTATCGTTTAATATGACCGATCGATATCTTGTATAATGTTTACTTTTTGCTCATTAATGAATGTTTAAAAGATTGACATGAGTTAAAAGTAGCGATCGCCTTACACTTGATCCTCTTTGCATCGGCCTTTTCACTCATGACCCTTCAATATATAGTTCTATGTTGAAAAAATCTTATATCTAAGTTCTACGTTGTTTCCTGTTGTTAATTTATCGTGTAAACATTTGCTTTGATATTGAATATATTTTTTTACGAGAATGCGATGGAAACTAATTTTGATTGTTGCATTAAGTCCGTTTACTGCACAGCCTAGCTGTAACCTCTTGCCCACTTCTGAATGTTAAGAGTGCGGCCTACGACACACAATCTGTATGGCCAAGTTCAATTTTCTAAATACGTTAATCTAGTCTGAATCACCGCATTGAATTTGTTGAAATCTTAATATCAAATAAATTCTTTATCACAATATCAGTTTCTTGTTGTTTCTTAATTATTGGTCCTGAGTTCTATGGTGTTCTCGGGCCCTTGATTATACTTGGTAAAACTTTCCTTTCCCACCATTTTCTTTCTTGCCCTTTCATGATACATAACAGGTTCTTGGTTTCTGATGTCTATACTTTGAAAGTGTTGTTGGACTTAAAATGATGTCAATAGCCAATAAAATGATATGAAAGTATGTTTAATACGTCTGCTGCTGTTTTCAGCAACTAAAACGTTTTTGTTTTTATTCAGACTAGATCCAGAAGATCCATTAGCTGTGCTACTTCTAATTGACTTCTATGCCTTGAAATCAGAACAATACGATTATTTGATTCAACTTTTCAATGAATGGGAGGTAGGTCATCTAGATTTGAGAAATACTATTTATCATCTTTTTTTACATTCCTTGCTAGTAGTATATCTTTTTTGGAGTGCTAACTTACCAAATTTTATTGCTTCTATGTAGGTATTAAGTTTTTTTTCAAATCAGACTTAATTTTTTTCAGGTATCAAAGAACCTCTTGAAGCTTCCTAATTACTCGTTTTCAGTACCACTGGCAATGTTCCATTCACAAAAGTTTAAGAATGAAAAAGCAAGCCAAATGGTAAGCCTATGATACTAGTATTGCTGAATGTAATAAAACGGAGAATGATAGGACACTCCTTTAGCATCTTTACAATATTTTCCAAAATAGGTCTACTGCTAGACTTTCCCTAATTCTATTTTAATTAAAACCGTAAGGTATTCGTACTACTGCAAGGGCAAATCTTAACTGCGAAGGAGATAATAGAGTCCTTTCCCGCGCTAGTATCTCCTTTGCAGTTTAGATTTTCAGTCGCAGAAGTACGAATTAGCAAAAGTAGACTTTGGGAAGGTCTAGTTGATTGCTAGTTTTATTCAAATTAAGGAGTTTTGGAATTTGTGTAAGGAAAGCATTGCAGTTTGTTACATATCGGTTTTCACATGATATTCTTTATAACGCAATAACACTAGCTAGCGTATGGTAGTCATCTTATTTATTTAAAAGTGAAAGAGACAACACAAGAACCAACCATGAGATCAATAACAAGAAATTTTCAATCATTTTATACCTTATTTAATTATTCATTTGATATTTCTTAGAAATCCAGCACTTAAAATGCTCTTCTTTTCGTGAGGAGTTTCAGCATGAATGAAATAATTTAGTAATATGAATGGCTTTTTTTTGTCGTACAGAACATGACTTTCCTTGCAAAGGTGTCGTGTGTCTACCTGTTCCTAGGTTAGCCTCATTCCTTGGGCGATTTCTTATCAAGCTTTGAATTTACTGTTTAAATTTCTCATTGTAGCTTCAAGATGCTTTGATCAAGTTTCCAACAACCCTGTTATTATTAATGGATAAATGTGGAGTGGTATTGAAAGATGAAATTATTCAGCATCCATACTTCCAGAGGACAAATGACATCAAGTGAGATATTTCTTTTTAAAATGACCTGAATTATTGCGTTTAATCCTTTTTCTATTTTTGTTTACTTGGCTTCCTCTAAACCAAAATTATAGAAAATGTTAACCAATAATTAAACCTTCACACATAATGAGAAATAATGAGAAATATGACACATAATGAGATCTTTTTACAACGGAAATAAGCAGGAAATAGTTATAAAAAACAACTTTCTTCAGTGTTGGAAGGAATAACTTTTACTCGTCGCTATTGATCTTTCACAGTTTTGTCTTGAAGAGAGCAGCATGGTATTAATAGCTAGTTTCCAATTACATGTTCAAGCAGCTGTTTAGAACAGCGAATTTTTTTGCAAACAACGAGTTTTGTTTGGCTGTAATATTTTGTGTACACATTCACAACATTGTTTTCCATATGAATTTTAGGCAGTCTGATGGTCTGAACCGGCTGATCGCCTTGTACGTCGGACGAAATTTTTCATTATGGAAAATACCAGAGGTAGCGTATAGTCTGATAGTTTACACAGCAGAGTTTTCCTTATAAATTTTTATTTTTTACACGGTTGAATTGAATCAAATGAAGTCAATAAAAATGGTCACAGTTATTATGATTGAATTGGTATTGTAAGTAGGTATTCCGCCGTTAGCGGCAGTTGACTCATGTCCATATATATTTACATGCTTAAGATAATCAGTTGCATATTACTCCTTATGAATTATCTTTAATTTTGGTTAAATTTCAACGTACAGAAGCGTAAATTTTTCGTACAATGGATGTGTTTCTGTCTTATTCAGTTTTTTAGCCGCACATATGATCCTTTCTTTTTCTTATTGTCAAGAAGGTTTTCTCGTCAAAAATGCGTCAAAACAGGTGCCAGAGTATATTGATTAGGAAAGAGTCTTGTTCGCAGGTTCTTGATTGGCTGGCAGATTGTGCGTTGGGCGCCATCAAGCGGCTTGAAGCAAACGACCCTCTTCAAAAGCAATGGGAACCTCTGTAAGCATAAGTTCAAATTTCTTATACCTCAAAATCCAGGAATGTTAGATTAAAAGGGTTCATTTTAATAACTCTCCTTTTTCAATAAGCCTGTGAGGAATTAGCAGCTCCATTTGAAAAATATTTCATGATTGCAATTACTTTTTAGGTGGAAGTATTTGTACCAGAAAGTCCCGTATAACATATTTCGACACATTATTATTTCAGGTAAATCAATTAGTTCCTCCTTGGCATAGCATGTCATGTTTTACTGTATCGTTTTTGAAAAATGCACTGCTTGAGCAAAAGTATTGTACCATTGGTAACAAAATGGTCGTACTGCTGTAAAAATTGACTTTTGATAGCTTAGCAAAAGTGGTTCAAATTTTGATGACAAGGTAGTTTACAATACTGTAACGTGAATTTCCTAAACTCTTTCTGTAGGAATATCTCAGACTGTTTGCAAATATTCCAGTTATGATTAAATCCAAAATAAACGCAAGCTTCCTTCTTAGATAACTTTTTTTTAATTTTTCATTTTAAAATAATTTTTCTATTATATTGGATCGTTTGCTCGTCTTTTTGGGTTTTTATTACCTTCTCTCTTCAGTTGTTTTATTACCACGTGATTCATACCATCCGGCTAGTGTTTCTATTTTCTGGCTTTTATTCACCTCTTTACTGCTTCTACTTGTTTCTGCAGATATAAAAGAGGCTGCAAGATCACTACCTCCGGTTCGTACTTTATACATTTTACATGGAACAATACTTTTGTGTACTAAATAAAGCATTTCAAAATACAGATCAAGAATTCAAATATGGCTTGGGGTGTGATGGAAGCGGGTATCTTACAATGTAACGTAAAAGTGATGTATATTGTTATTGAATATGCTCCCAGGAAACCAATGGCTTCTCTATATTTAATTTGTGTATTCTTCATACATTTTGTTATAATTCCTCTACGATTTTTATATTTCAGGAAATAAGCAGTGTAACTGTCAATACATACGATCCACTACCACCTCCAGACTCAATATCAGGATACACAATACAAAGAAGGTTTGTTTGACGCCAGTCTCTTTCGTTATTCTTTCGAAGAACTCAAGAATTGAATTTGTATGCCTTCAGGAAACGATTAAAAATTATGAAGTACATAATTGCTACTGCAACCACACTTAACAAGAACGTCTTATGCAGATCAAGGCTTCAAGCTGAAATTTACTTACATATGTAAGAAATTTTTTCAAGAGTTTTGAGGTACTTTTGAATATGTACGAGGATTATTCTGGCGATCGTTTATGTATTCTCTTTGCATTTTGAGTCAATATAACACTCTTCAACAACAAGAAAAATACGTAGGACGGCTTTATTCATTGGAGTCGTGTGCAAAGAAAGGCGTGGATTACAGTTCTATTAAGAAATTAACCGTTGTGAGTCTTTTCTCTAGGTCGCACGAAAATGATGCTGATGGGTTTCTTTCTTTATTCCTCCGTTCATTACTACCAAGCTTTGGGACGGTGAGTGGTGACTTTTGTCACTCTGCTGCTCATTGACAAATCATTATTTTTATGCTATATTTTATGTTGTTTAGTAGCACGAAATGAAAAGCAGCATTTGCAGCATTTGAAATGAAAAGTAGTTACGTGGTTGCCATCGTTCACTTTTTTGCTACAAACAAAGACGGGTCGGACTTAGTGAGAGGAGCAGTCTTTTAATCTTCGCTGCAAATGTCAAAATAATTTTCGAATGCATATAAGGGGTTTAGAAATTAGAAAAATACATGGTTAAAAAAAAGACTTTCAATTTTAACATAGGCCTACTATAAAAAACCTTTTCTTTTTAACTACGCGTGGAATCAAGTAGAGAGATTATACGTGTTTTTTGGAGGATGCAAAGAATCTTTTTTCAAGCAAGCGAGAAGAAATACTTTTTGGTGCCTTTTTGAGGATGCTGAAAATATATGCTCATAAAGCGTCGGTAGCAGTTGCGATTTTGTAAAACCCTGCTGAACTTTAGCGTCTAAAAAGACATGTCGAGTGGAGTCACTAGAAAGTGCCTAGACAAAAGACATATTTGGAAGGGTTAGTGTACCAATAATATTTTACGTGTCGGTAGAGTATGATGGTAATTATTAATTGTCTATGTAAATTATCGTTAATTAGATAAACAGCGCTATTATATAAAGTACAATGTGAATCATTCATAGACTTCTCGAATCTACGTACACTCCTAAATCTACCAAAGGTACACTCTTTTTCAATTATTAATGAAATTTCGCATGCCTCTAGACAAAGTCAGACTTCAGCTTTTTCTTTTGAATTCAACAAGACTCCAAATAACTATTAGTTGAAAGAAGAACCTTGCCGAAATGCGAAATGCTGAATACGTTCTTTTCACACTTTTTTCTGTTTAAATCCTTTCTGATAAAACAGCTTACGATCCAAACTTTTTGACCCTTGCTTCTTTGTTGCATCTATCTTGATTGTAGCAGTGATCCCAAAATTCCGTTTTAGGAAAACCAACAGCCGCCTCGAGCACCCCAGCAACCTCTACAACAAGAGGCACAAAGACAGCAGCCTCAGGGAGCGGAGGCTATTGTCAGGCCAGGAGTGGAAAATCGGATAACAGAAAGTGCTCAAAGGCTTATGGGTGCAATGCGAGAATTATTGAACTCAATGACGTACAGGTACAAAACAAGTCATCTATGCAGTTAATTCATATTTTTTTATTCTGATTTCCAATAGGATGCCTAAAAAGCGTAACTGATCAACCTATTTATCGTTCTGTTGCAGAGGAGATTTAGATGAGGTTGGAAATGACGATGAAGGTGGATTTGAAGAAGCTGACTGGGAAGACCCTGAAGAATTCTGAAAAACAACAATGATACAGTAGAGATAAGAAATTGTCTATAAAAAGTCTCATTTTTGATAACTGGAATATTTTTTAAATACAGACCAACTCAACAATTTATTTTATTCAAATTTTAATTGTAGCAGATGCAGTATCTTGTCCAGTGATGAATAAATAATTGCACATCTTTGTGTCATTAATTTTTGAGTGTTTTTATGAGTGCAATCCAAGGCCTAAACAGAAAAAGACCCCATGTCCTCTTTGGATGATATGACAAAATAAGAATGTGCAACTAGACAAAATGTTGCATATTTACAAAAACAAGATTTCCTTTGACACACCATTCTGTCTTTGGCATTTGAAGTATAAAAGGTTTTAAACAACATTTTCAAGCCACTGAAAACATTTTGACAAGACTTATGCAGAACGAAAAAGTCTTGCAAATATCAAAATGTTGACTGTTAGTTTTCAACCTCTTTTTGTGAAGGTCACTGGCAACTTCTTCTAGACATGCATTCATCATATAACCAATACAAACCATAAAAAACTTTTCTGTATCAAATTGCCTGTTAATTGACAATTTGCGGAAGTTATTGGTCTCTGAACTTGGAAGTTATTGCTGTGATGTACCTAAATTCTTTACTTAATGTTATGTACTTGTTTCTTTATATATCACCCTTCAGTAAACATAGAGTGCCACCCTGATTTTCAATATTTCGAAAAGAAACATTGAGATGGTTCATTATGTCAAGAGTTTGTTAAAAAGATCTGATCAATAATATGCCTTGATCACATTGCATTTTCCAAGGGAAATTAGCTGTGGGGCAAATCTTTGTTTATAAAAATAGGAGGACAATAGCCTATTGTTTGAAACAACGGAAAGCCACTTGGACTGCAGGGGCAATTACCCCCAAGTTAGTATATTAAAAAGGCCCTGCTTGATCAAATGTCAAGCTCCTTCTGAAAACCCACTCACACACACAAATTTGGTTAGAAAGACATTATGGCCACAAGACACTATTCAGGGTAAAAATTTGAGAAACTAACTGTAGAGTCTGAGAAATGCTAAGCAGCTTCTGATGAAGTTTTACAATTAAAAACCAGTTTTGTGTTTATTAGGATGTTATGTTAATGTCAAGTGCTGCTTTGGAGTTCTATGTCAGCTGAAAAACTGGGTGTTCAAGAGGAGATGCATACTTCTTGTGTTCCATAAGAAAAGAGGTTTTGTAAACATTTACCTGAATGAAGTTAATGCTAACATTGTGGGTATTTTGAACAGTTTTTTTGTTTTCCTTCACTTTTGATCAATAGCTTGCCTTCCTCATAACAACCACTCGTTATGCATTCATCAGTCAAAAGGAGTCTCATTCAAGAGTAAAATTAGGCCTGGCCTATACACATACAAGGCATATTTAAGGAAACTGGAAACTCAATAGTCATTATGTAAACAATTTCCCAAGACTGTCCCTGACTTTAAATCAAGTGTGCTTCTGTTTCATATCTTTCATTTAATAGCATGCCATTCATTGCAAGGGCTTAAAATGATCCAGAAAAGATCAAGAGCAGGAGAATTTTCTTAAAAAGCAAGGGCTTGTAAAGCAGGATGATCTGCATAAGATTTGATAAGCAAGCAGTTGTCAAGGGACAAGATATTTACTTTTGTTACTCTAGGTTGTTTATTATTCTAGGGTCTCCTTTATAGGGATTCCACAGTACATGTCAAATTCCACATTATTAAAAATCGTTTCATTATACAAAATATGTATCAACTGATTGGATAACAAAAATAACAACCATAGAGAGAGTAGTTTCAACCTGGATTTTTTATCAAACGTTCAGAAAATAACCCAGTTTGCCCTATGCCAATAGCCCATTCTCAACTTTTGAGTTCTATTTATGGCCTTTGTCTGCATATAAGGAAAAAATGAAGATAGCCTTCAATCAATTACCAAGATGTGATAAATGTGTTCAAGAAATTCACAACACCATTTGGTTGCCAGAAAGCATAAAATATTGTTTATTTAGAAAAGTGGACAACTCAAGCTCAATCTTTAAAATGTTGTTAGTGACATTTGAGAGTTGCTGACAGTTTGCTTTTGGTCACCTAAAAGGTCACAAAGAATGAAAATTTGAATAGAATAAACCATTCTCTTTCTATCATAACTTCAAACTTTCTCTATAATAGGTACAGAGGAATGTACAAAGCTATAACTCATCCTTATTTGAAGATTTTTTTCCAGACCCATCCATCTGCTCTTCCTTTCCTTCCCTGCCATCTTCTTCCATGTCATCATCCTCCTTGCCTTCTCCTTAATGAAGAATTCCATGTGAGTGTTTACATTATCAGTTGATTTTTCAGATCGCAGTGTGACCTGCTCTAATTGTGGGAATTTCAATAGAAAAAAACTACCCAAAGAGCCTGAGGAAAACATATTACTCAAACCAACTGTCTTTTGCCTTCATACATTAAGTATGTTATTTGCTGTTGTAAACAACATAATTTTAATCTCAATGCTACGCATCTATATTCTATGGTGTTTTTTCATTCCTTTGAATTAGTAATTTTAAGATTCCTTATATGGGAACTAACTTCATAATACTTTTATCCATGGATATTCTTACCTTCTTCTGATCCATCATCTTCAGCCTCATCAGGTCCCCCTTCCTTTTCGCTAGGGCTTTCCTCATCATTTTTTTCTACGGATATGTGTATAACAAAGTTAATGAAACAATAATTACCTTACAAATATGCAAAACAATACATTTTTAGGTTTTGTTTTTCCTCCAAATGAATTTGCAATTCTAATCACTTTATAATACCAATGCAATTCCAAAGTACCCTGTTGCTTTTCTTACAGAGTTATCTAATTTTAAAAGTTTTGGGAATCTTTTAAATTTAGGACAGTTATCGCAACTACTCTACAAAATCATATTCCATTTAAGAAATACATGTTAATCCTAACTTAGATCTTGTCTGCCAATTTAAGTCATCATGGCATTGGTTGTTTGAAATTTTTTCTTAATAATACATTTATAGAAAGTTAGTTTTCCTTGATCAAAATTCCAGTCTTTGTTATGTTTCTTTATATATTTATCACTGATTTGCTTTCAGAAAATATTCACATCATGTAGACACATAAGAATATTTGTTGCTTTCATCACTGGAGGCAACTTGAGATCAAATCATTCAGTTCAAATTAATTGTGATGAAGGTCACAATCAACTGACCTAATATTTAGTGACTGATGGTGCCCAGGAAAAAACTGGTGTGTAGACTGGAAAGTTTATAAGTTGCTACTCAACCACTCCTGTTCCATAAATCAAAGCATATACTGGGTGACATTCTAAAATCTGTTCATAGATATATTATTGCTGTCTTTATAATCCACCCAAATTTACCTTTGCCGTCCAAAGGTTCTTCACCTTCTTCTTCTCTTTCCTCCATTTCTTCTTCATCTCCTTCATTCGGCTCTTCATCTCCATCTTCTTCACCTTCAGCTCCCTCCTCTGCCATGTCACCAGAGTCTGGCCCTGGATCTTCTTTCTGCACTGGCATCTTTGGTGCATCTTTACATTGAGTCATAAAAGGATCACTTGCTCCCATTTCCTTGAATTGCCAAATTATTGTATCACAATACAGATCAGCTCTTCCAACAGCCCTGGGTTCAGGTTTCACATCCCACCCACAGGTGGAAATAGGCTCAGGCGGTGCTAAAATTTTGCAACCTTCTACTTGCCATAATTCACCTCGAGCTTTTTGCACAGCTTCCATAACCTAAAAATATCACAAGTGTCTCAATAATGGATGTCATTATATAACTAAAAATCCTTCGCTAGGGAAGAAAGTAAAGAAATTAGAGTACGTAGTAATGTAGCTTTCCATACCCATTTTGCTGCTGCTAGTGCCTCTTTGCACGCTTCTTTCCTTTTCGTCTTTCGGCATGATTTCAGAGATTTCAAATGCTTTTGCAAATCATCATCATTGAAGTGATTGGCGATGGCCTTCTTGCAAACTGGGTTAGGGTCCTTGCAATCTTCGTAACCCTCGGGAAATGCTTTATGGCAGCAACATTTGTTTAAAGCTTCGAAGTTATCTGGTTGCAGAGCCCCAATTATTCTTGTTAATTCCTCAATATTTTTGCACTTTCCCTTTTCAAGACAACTTTGTATAGCCTGGATTCCTGTACAACTTTTCTCTAAAACGTCAAGCATGCACCCCATATGAAATCGATGTGGGCATGTTGCAGCTTGCATGTAGATATCTTTTCCTTCTGTTTCTTCTAATGCTAAACAGTCTTTTAAAAAAACAGCAAAGATTATTGCTGCTGCTATACCGATGTGTTTCCCTGCCATGCTGCTTTGACCTCGTCGTCTCTATTGGGCTCTCAAAGGATTAGGCCTAAGCTGTTGGACGTTCCCCACACCTTCTGAAAGACAAAGAAGGCAGCAAAGCTATTCTATCAAAGGAACCTATCTTCCAGCCAAGCATGAAACATTTTCCCCAACAACATCTTCCTATTTCCCGTGTGTGACCATTACTACCAAAGCGGAAGTATTGCTCACACGTGATAAATTTGTTTGTTACCAAGGCTACTGTATACTTCCATTAGGCCTCAAATAAACGATCAGATTTGATCAGTTTTTTGACTGACAGCTTTCAGTCTCCAAAAACTGATTTTCTGAAAGACAGTAAAGCTGGGAAGGCTTCGAAAAATCATCAATTTTTTTTCAAATTTTTTTATCTGAAAAGAGATTGATTCGTAACTTTATGATCAGAAAGTTGTATAATTGAGTTTGGTTTTGGTGTTAAAGTCCTTTTTTTAATAAAAAGACAGCTTTTTGAAGGGGTCGACTTTGGATAAGAAAGTAAGATTCTAGGCTTTTAGAAAAATGGTCGATTTTTTTAAAAAAATTTTTCTTCCCGAAAACAGGTTCATTCGTAACGTTATGATCAGAGAGTGCTTTAATTGAATTTTCTTTTGGAATTAAAATCGCTTTTTTAAAAGATACGAATCAAAGATACAGCTTTTTAGAGGGGTCAATTCTTTACAAAAAGGCAAGGTTATATGCTTGGAACAATCGTCTATTTTTTGAAAATGTTTTTCTTCTGAAAACAGGTTGATTCGTATCTTTATGATAAGAGAGAGGTGTAATTGAATTTGCTTTTGGAATGATAGTGGTTTTTTTGATAATTTGGCAGCTTTTTAGAGGAGTCAATTCTATACAAAAAGGCAAGGTTATAGGCTTGCAAAAGTCGTCTATTTTTTGAAAATTTTTTTCGTCTGAAAACAGGTTGATTCGTATCTTTATGATCAGAAAGAGGTGTAATTGAGTTTGGTTTTGGAATGATAGTCGTTTTTTTGATAATTTGGCAGGTTTTTAGAGGGGTCAATTCTTTACAAAAAGGCAAGGTTATAGGCTTGGAAAAATCGTCTATTTTTTGAAAATTCTTTTCTTCTGAAAACAGGTTGATTCGTATCTTTATGATAAGAGAGAGGTGTAATTGAATTTGCTTTTGGAATGATAGTGGTTTTTTTGATAATTTGGCAGCTTTTTAGAGGAGTCAATTCTATACAAAAAAGCAAGGTTATAGGCTTGCAAAAGTCGTCTATTTTTTGAAAATTTTTTTCGTCTGAAAACAGGTTGATTCGTATCTTTATGATCAGAAAGAGGTGTAATTGAGTTTGGTTTTGGAATGATAGTCGTTTTTTTGATAATTTGGCAGCTTTTTAGATGGGTCAATTCTTTACAAAAAGGCAAGGTTATAGGCTTGGAAAAATCGTCTATTTTTTGAAAATGTTTTTCTTCTGAAAACAGGTTGATTCGTATCTTTATGATAAGAGAGAGGTGTAATTGAATTTGCTTTTGGAATGATAGTTGTTTTTTTGATAATTTGGCAGCTTTTTAGAGGAGTCAATTCTGTACAAAAAGGCAAGGTTATAGGCTTGGAAAAATCGTCTATTTTTTGAAAATTCTTTTCTTCTGAAAACAGGTTGATTCGTATCTTTATGATCAGAAAGAGGGGTAATTGAGTTTGGTTTTGGAATGATAGTCGTTTTTTTGATAATTTGGCAGCTTTTTAGAGGGGTCAATTCTTTACAAAAAGGCAAGGTTATAGGCTTGGAAAAATCGTCTATTTTTTGAAAATGTTTTTCTTCTGAAAACAGGTTGATTCGTATCTTTATGATAAGAGAGAGGTGTAATTGAATTTGCTTTTGGAATGATAGTGGTTTTTTTGATAATTTGGCAGCTTTTTAGAGGAGTCAATTCTATACAAAAAGGCAAGGTTATAGGCTTGGAAAAATCGTCTATTTTTTGAAAATTCTTTTCTTCTGAAAACAGGTTGATTCGTATCTTTCTGATCAGAAAGAGGTGTAATTGAGTTTCGTTTTGGAATGATAGTCGTTTTTTGATAATTTGGCAGCTTTTTAGAGGGGTCAATTTTTTACAAAAAGGCAAGGTTATAGGCCTGGAAAAATCGTCTATTTTTTGAAAAAATTTTTCTTCTGAAAACAAGTTGATTCGTATCTTTATGATCAGAGAGAGGTGTAATTGAGTTTGGTTTTGGAATGATAGTCGTTTTTTTGAAAATTTGGCAGCTTTTTATAGGGGTCAATTTTTTACAAAAAGGCAAGGTTACAGGCTTGGAAAAATCATCTATTTTTTGAAAAATGTTTTCGTCTGAAAACAGGTTGATTCGTCTCTTTCTGATCAGAAAGAGGTGTAATTGAGTTTGGTTTTTTTTAATGATACTCGTTTTTTCGATAATTTTGCAGCTTTTTAGAGGGGTCAATTCTTTAAAAAAAGGCAAGGATATAGGCTTTGAAAAATCGTCTTTTTTTTGAAAATTTTTCCTCTGAAAACAGGTTGATTCGTATCTTTCTGATCAGAAAGAGGTGTAATTGAGTTTCGTTTTGGAATGATAGTCGTTTTTTGATAATTTGGCAGCTTTTTAGAGGGGTCAATTTTTTACAAAAAGGCAAGGTTATAGGCCTGGAAAAATCGTCTATTTTTTGAAAAAATTTTTCTTCTGAAAACAGGTTGATTCGTATCTTTATGATCAGAGAGAGGTGTAATTGAGTTTGGTTTTGGAATGATAGTCGTTTTTTTGAAAATTTGGCAGCTTTTTATAGGGGTCAATTTTTTACAAAAAGGCAAGGTTACAGGCTTGGAAAAATCATCTATTTTTTGAAAAATGTTTTCGTCTGAAAACAGGTTGATTCGTATCTTTATGATCAGAAAGAGGTGTAATTGAGTTTGGTTTTGGAATGATAGTCGTTTTTTTGATAATTTGGCAGCTTTTTAGAGGGGTAAATTCTTTACAAAAAGGCAAGGTTATAGGCTTGGAAAAATCGTCTTTTTTTTGAAAAAATTTTTCTTCTGAAAACAGGTTGATTCGTGTCTTTATGATCAGAAAGAGGTGTAATTGAGTTTGGTTTTAGAATGATAGTCGTTTTTTTGATAATTTGGCAGCTTTTTAGAGGGGTTAATTTTTTACAAAAAGGCAAGGTTATAGGCTTGGAAAAATCGTCTATTTTTTGAAAAAATTTTTCTTCTGAAAACAGGTTGATTCGTTTCTTTATGATCAGAAAGAGGTGTAATTGAGTTTGGTTTTGGAATGATAGTCGTTTTTTTGATAATTTGGCAGCTTTTTAGAGGGGTCAATTTTTTACAAAAAGGCAAGGTTATAGGCTTGGAAAAATCATCTATTTTTTGAAAATTTTTTTCGTCTGAAAACAGGTTGATTCGTATCTTTATGATCAGTAAGAGGTGTAGTTGAGTTTGATTTTGGAATGATAGTCGTTTTTTTGATAATTTGGCAGCTTTTTAGAGGGGTCAGTTTTTTACAAAAAGGCAAGGTTATAGGCTTGGAAAAATCATCTACTTTTTGAAAATTTTTTTCGTCTGAAAACAGGTTGATTCGTATCTTTATGATCAGAAAGAGGTGAAATTGAGTTTGGTTTTGGAATGATACTCGTTTTTTTGATAATTTGGCAGCTTTTTAGAGGGGTGAATTCTTTACAAAAAGGCAAGGTTATAGGCTTGGAAAAATCGTCAATTTTTTGAAACTTTTTTTCTTCTGAAAACAGGTTGATTCGTCTCTTTCTGATCAGAAAGAGGTGTAATTGAGTTTGGTTTTGGAATGATACTCGTTTTTTCGATAATTTTGCAGCTTTTTAGAGGGGTCAATTCTTTAAAAAAAGGCAAGGATATAGGCTTTGAAAAATCGTCTTTTTTTTGAAAATTTTTTTCTTCTGAAAACAGGTTGATTCGTATCTTTCTGATCAGAAAGAGGTGTAATTGAGTTTCGTTTTGGAATGATAGTCGTTTTTTGATAATTTGGCAGCTTTTTAGAGGGGTCAATTTTTTACAAAAAGGCAAGGTTATAGGCCTGGAAAAATCGTCTATTTTTTGAAAAAATTTTTCTTCTGAAAACAAGTTGATTCGTATCTTTATGATCAGAGAGAGGTGTAATTGAGTTTGGTTTTGGAATGATAGTCGTTTTTTTGAAAATTTGGCAGCTTTTTATAGGGGTCAATTTTTTACAAAAAGGCAAGGTTACAGGCTTGGAAAAATCATCTATTTTTTGAAAAATGTTTTCGTCTGAAAACAGGTTGATTCGTCTCTTTCTGATCAGAAAGAGGTGTAATTGAGTTTGGTTTTTTTTAATGATACTCGTTTTTTCGATAATTTTGCAGCTTTTTAGAGGGGTCAATTCTTTAAAAAAAGGCAAGGATATAGGCTTTGAAAAATCGTCTTTTTTTTGAAAATTTTTCCTCTGAAAACAGGTTGATTCGTATCTTTATGATCAGAAAGAGGTGAAATTGAGTTTGGTTTTGGAATGATACTCGTTTTTTTGATAATTTGGCAGCTTTTTAGAGGGGTCAATTCTTTACAAAAAGGCAAGGTTATAGGCTTGGAAAAATCGTCAATTTTTTGAAATTTTTTTCTTCTGAAAACAGGTTGATTCGTCTCTTTCTGATCAGAAAGAGGTGTAATTGAGTTTGGTTTTGGAACGATTTTGTTTTTTTGATAATTTGGCAGCTTTTTAGAGGGGTCACTTTTTTACAAAAAGGCAAGGTTATAGGCTTGGAGAAATCGTCAATTTTTTGAAACTTTTTTCTTCTGAAAACAGGTTGATTCGTATCTTTCTGATCAGAAAGAGGTGTAATTGAGTTTGGTTTTGGAATGATACTCGTTTTTTCGATAATTTTGCAGCTTTTTAGAGGGGTCAATTCTTTACAAAAAGGCAAGGTTATAGGCTTGGAAAAATCGTCAATTTTTTGAAACTTTTTTTCTTCTGAAAACAGGTTGATTCGTATCTTTCTGATCAGAAAGAAGTATAATTGAGTTTGGTTTTGGAAGGATAGTCGTTTTTTCGATAATTTTGCAGCTTTTTGGAGGGGTCAATTCTTTAAAAAAAGGCAAGGTTATAGGCTTTAAAAATCGTCTTTTTTTTGAAAAATTTTTTCTTCTGAAAACAGGTTGATTCGTATCTTTCTGATCAGAAAGAGGTGTAATTGAGTTTGGTTTTGGAATGATAGTCGTTTTT